GCTGCCCAGTAACAACCAGTAGACGCTAGTTAAAGGTCATGTACAAAGGTTAAAACAAAAAAGTCTCTACGTGTATGTTATGTAATATATTCTTGACCTATATATGACACGGGAAAGGTCACGGTGAAATGAGTACATAGCATCAGGTAGAGTTAAATGTTTATAACCTGTGATGGCCAAGAACAATGGAAACTGGAATGTGTTTTTCGTCCACACATACATACATACATACACACACACACACACACACACACACACACACACCTTTACTTTCATCCTCACTTTCTCCTCCACCAATATTTCCTTATTGTGTTGTTGACGCCGAGGGAATGCTTTTGTTTTGAAGTAATAATAATAATAATAATAATAACAGCAGCAACATGACTTAGTGTGTCTAGGGAGTTAGAGCTTTGTTTTCCTATTGTCATTATTCTTGTGAGCTGTCGTCTGAGTATTGTGAGTATAGAAGCTGTTTTTTGTGCTGTTTTTATTATTATGAGCTGTTTTGAGTATTGTGAGTATGGAAGCTGGTTTTTTTGTGCTGTTTCTATTAATCTTATGAGCTGTTTTATGACTATTGTGAGTAGGGAGCCGTATTTTGCTGTATATTAATCTTAAGAGCTGTCGTATGAGTATTGTGAGTATAGAAGCTGTTTTTTTATTTTATTTTGCTGTTTTTCCGAGTCTTGTGAGCTGTCAGTCAGTTGGTCAATGAGGTTAATGTGTTGTGGTGGTCAATGAAGGAAGTGGCTAGTGGAGGAGAGGTGTGTTGAACTAGTAGCCGAGTCATCATTGTAAAAGCTGTTTTGTTGTGGTGTTCCCGTGTGATGATTTTTTGTGTATTGTTCATTTTGTTCATAGTTTTGTTCAGTTTGTTCAGTTTTGTTCATTTTGTTCATAGTTTTGTTCATTTTGTTCATTTTGTTCATAGTTTTGTTCATTTTGTTCATAATTTTGTTCATTTTGTTCAGTTTTGTTCATTTTGTTCATAGTTTTGTTCATTTTGTTCATAGTTTTGTTCATTTTGTTCATAGTTTTGTTAATTTTGTTCATTTTGTTCATAGTTTTGTTCATTTTGTTCATAGTTTTGTTCATTTTGTTCATAGTTTTGTTCATTTTGTTCATAGTTTTGTTCATCTTGCTCATGGTTTTGTTCATGTCGTGTTTTACCTCCATTAGTTTACTTTCACTCGTTTGCTTAAGTCATTGTGTTGATGATGGTGATTTAATATGCATAGTAAAACGACTAGACAGACACGGACAGACAGACAGACACGGACAGACAGACAGACAGACACGGACAGACAGACAGACAGACACGGACGGACAGACAGACACAGACAGACAGACACGGACAGACAGACAGACACACGTGGACAGACAGACAGACAGACAGACAGACAATGAAGACAGAACACTAATGGCGATAATTACAACCCGAGAACAGGGAGAGAAAGTTACGTATTATTAAGTAATTATTGGAACTGTAACCTAACCAAACCTATCCTAACCTAACCTAACCTATCGTGGACCATTAAGAGGGGTGGCGTGGGCAGATAATGGGGAAGGCGTGTACTTGGCGTGGATAGATAATAGGGAAGGCGTGTACTTGGCGTGGATAGATAATGGGAAGGCGTGTACTTGGCGTGGATAGATAATAGGGAAAGCGTGTAACAAGTGTCGCGTCCATTAAGAGAAACGTTACTATGAGTTGCGTGTTCGTGATTGAAAGTCTTTGGGCGTCTTCCTTCCTCCTGTTACTTTTCTACCCCTTCTGTTACTTTTCTACCCCCTCTGTTACTTTTCTACCCCCCTGTTACTTTTCTACCCCCCCGTTACTTTTCTACCCCCTCTGTTACTTTCCTACCCCTTTTGTTACTTTTCTACCCCCTGTTACCCCCTGTTACTATATATATTTAAACGTGTTATTAGTAATGCTATTGGCACATAAACATCATAAAGGAATAGTTAATGGAGACTGGTGTCGAAGCTATGTTGTTTAGCGTAGGGCGACTCCACAGTAAACGGAGCTTATTTGTTTACTCTGTGGGGGGAACTATTATATAAGTGTATCTCATATATTACCTCTATGTAGTTGTTGTTTTGGGTGTTTTTACGGCTTAGGACACTTCATTTTATTGTTTATTTTATTTATTTATTTATTTTTTTTATTTTTTTTATTTTCTAAGCTTTTTCTTTATTTTCTTTGTGTTTATTGTATTTTTATGGCGTAGTTTGTTACCTCTCTCTCTCTCTCTCTCTCTCTCTCTCTCTCTCTCTCTCTGGCGTTCGTTTTATTTCTGCTTCTCATCTTTTTTAATTCGTCTTCTTCCTCATTTATCACGACTCTCTTTTCACTTTCGCTCACCTTCTGGTTTTGACTTTCCCCCAATAGTTAATTTCTTTGCTGGACGCTTACGTGTGTGTGTGTGTTTTGTGAATCGTTTATTGTCACACTCACACACACTATCAGGACGTAATTCGATTGGCAAAGACGTCATAAAAATCGTAACAACAATAAGGAAACCCATTGGCTGTGACGTCATATTCACAAACAAGGTGGCATCTCATTGGTTGTGACGTCATATTCACAAACATGGTGGCATCTCATTGGTTGTGACGTCATATTCACAAACAAGGTGGCATCTCATTGGTTGTGACGTCATATTCACAAACAAGGTGGCATCTCATTGGTTGTGACGTAATTCTATCTCACCAAACAAAATATCTTATTGACTGTTACGTCACTTAAAGACGATCTCATTGGTTGTGGCGTCATAAAATCCATCACCTCAGGCATATGATTGGGTGGTGGAGGTGGGCGTTGACTCACCTGGCGTGTGGACATTATTAACGCCCGCAACACCTGGCCGCTGCTACCTGCTTCTGCTGTTGGCGGGAGAAAGTTGTCTGTCTGTCTGTCTGTCTGTCTGTTGCTCTGATTTATACGAAAGGAAAATTACACGATGATGATAATAATAATAATAATAATAAAGTACCTAATAAGGAAAATAATAAAATATGCCCAAATATTATCCAATTAAAATACACATCCTAATATTGAAGGCTTCCCATTGGCTGTGACGTCATCAGAGGCATGGCACTCCTTGTATTAAATATCTCTTGTGATAATTTAAGTCATTCTGGTAATTTAGTCTTGCTAATGACCCCTGGAGGTAATTAGATCATCTTTTACTAATTAGTTGTGTATACCCATTATTTGTGTTAATTACCAAAACCCATTATTTTTCCATACCCCATTAAGCACGGACAGACAGACAGATATTTACTTATTTTTTCTCACACTTCTTCCTATTCTTTTTCCTCTCTCCCTCCCTCCCCTTTCCTTCCCTTCCCTCCTTCCCTCCCTCCTTTTTCCTTTCCATCCTATTTCTCTTCATCTCTCCTACCCTCCCTCCCTCCCTCCTCCCCTTTCATTTCCTTTCCTTCCCTCCTTCTCTCCCTTTAACCCCCTTCCCTTTCCTTCCCTCCCTTTGTCACTTTCTCTGTCCTCTCCTTCCCTCCCCTTTTCCTTCCCCCCTTCCGTTCCATCCTGTTTCTCTTCTTCAACCTTTCGGCTCTCCTCCCCCCCTTCCTCCTGATCATCGCCCGGGGCCACAACATAACACCTTAATGGCCTTGTTTCGTCGTCTTCCTTCTCCATCCTCAGGCTCTCACGTGATTGGTTTAGAAATCTAGAAATCTCACCTGATCACCGCAGTTGATTGGGTGAAATTTTGTCAGATTATTATCGAGTTTATGTGGCAACGTTGCATGTGGGTTCTGTTTTGAGATGTGGCAACGTTGCATGTGGGGTTCTGTTTTGAGATGTGGCAACGTTGCATGTGGGGTTCTGTTTTGAGATGTGGCACCACCGCATTTCGTTAATTTAAATACCAGCTAAGTTTAAATTTATCATTAATATCAAAATGTAATCAGTTTATATTAATTATTTTTTACGACATACATACATACATACATACATACATACATACATACATACGAAAAGAACAGACAAATAAGCAAACACATACATTAACACAAATGCAAACATACAAACAAACAAATATAAACGCAAATTAATAAATACAAATACAAACTAACCTACAAACAAAGACAAACAAACACAAAGACATAATATACACACAGGCAACCACAAAAAAAAACACCAGTGAAAGTAAAATGAAGTTTCAGACACATAGGTGACTTACTGTGTGGCTCTCTCTCTCTCTCTCTCTCTCTCTCTCTCTCTCTCTCTCTTTTATGAATGTAAGTATTGCGTCGTTTACAGTGTATATATGTATGTAATTTGGTATAGAAACACAAAATCGCCTAAAAATGTAGCCGGTATTAACATTAATTAAAACCTAATAATATTTCTCAACTATACCACTTGGAACAATGTTGTCTTAGGTACCACGACTTCCTGTTTGTGTGTTTTCCCAGGATGATCTGTGTTTCAAGAAAGCACACTGGTTAATTAATGCTGAAAACGAGTAGGAACTGGGAAAAAAAAGACGTGTTTACTTTCTAAGCTGGTTGTGAGGGAGAGACAGAAACAGACAGACACTTAGACAGATAATTAATAAACCCAAGAAAGAGACAGGTCGTTTACTGTCCACTAACAGATAGACAGCTAGTGACTGGACTGTGTAGTGAAGGGAGCGGACGTATAATGTAAACATACCAAGCGTTCCTTTAGGAGAAACTTGACTATGCTGCATTCTTTTAGGTTTAATTAACGAGGTAAATAGTGAAAGTATATTTGCTTCTTTTTTGTGTAGGGGGAGGGGGGAGGATTTTAGCCAATTTAACATTATTTTAAGTTTGTAACCCTTGTAAAAATTAACACTGATAATATACTGTATATCCAGGAGCCTTCACCGTTAATATGAAATTTAACACCCCCCCCCCCCTCGCCATTTTCTAGGATTAAAATCAACATCACACAATTTTAACACCGAGGAAATGTTGAATTATAAACAATTTTCTTTTTTCAGGGATAACTTAGACAAGTGATCGACCCCAACTTGATGTTATGGCGGGGAGGTGGCGAGTCATCCACACCCCCGTCCTGCTCCTCCTCCTGCTGGTGGTGACGACGGGGAGGCTTGGTGATGCCCTGGTCATGGACACGTGTGATGGCAAACCTCACCAGGTGACTCTCAACACACAGGCCCAGGCTTATATTGGTGAGTGGTGAGGAGAGTTTGGTGTGTGAGGTATGGTAGTTGAATAATAATAATAATATAACGTTATTGAAAGAGCTTGGCGCCAGAAGGCTGAAAATACAGTTACATATTTGGGGAATGGGTTACGAATTACAAATAATATACAAGGACATAAGTGAAATAAGACATATAGTAACTTAGATGGGGATCAGCTCTGTGGTAGTTGTAAGATGTTGTGGTTGTGGTAGTTGTAAGATGTAGTGGTTGTGATAGTTGTTGTAGTAGTGGTTGTGATAGTTGTAGTAGTGGTTGTGATAGTTGTAGTAGTGGTTGTGATAGTTGTTGTAGTGATTGTGATAGTTGTAGTAGTGGTTGTGATAGTTGTAGTAGTGGTTGTGATAGTTGTTGTAGTAGTGATTGTATAGTTGTAGTAGTGGTTGCAAGAATTGTTAGTAGTGATTGTGATAGTTGTAGTAGTGGTTGTAAGAGTTGTTGTAGTAGTGATTGTGATAGTTGTTGTAGTAGTGATTGTGATAGTTGTAGTAGTGGTTGTGATAGTTGTTGTAGTAGTGGTTGTGATAGTTGTAGTAGTGGTTGTAAGAGTTGTTGTAGTAGTGATTGTGATAGTTGTAGTAGTGATTGTAAGAGTTGTTGTAGTAGTGATTGTGGATAGTAGTGGTTGTGATAGTTGTTGTAGTAGTGATTGTGATAGTTGTAGTAGTGGTTGTAAGAGTTGTTGTAGTAGTGATTGCGATAGTTGTAGTAGTGATTGTAAGAGTTGTTGTATTAGTGATTGTGATAGTTGTAGTAGTGGTTGTGATAGTTGTTGTAGTAGTGGTTGTGATAGTTGTAGTAGTGGTTGTAAGAGTTTTTGTAGTAGTGATTGTGATAGTTGTAGTAGTGGTTGTGATAGTTGTTGTAGTGGTTGTGATAGTTGTAGTAGTGATTGTGATAGTTGTTGTAGTGGTTGTGATAGTTGTAGTGGTTGTGATTGGTTGTAGTAGTGGTTGTGATAGTTGTAGTAGTGGTTGTAAGAGTTGTTGTAGTAATACTTGTAGTAGCCACGGTAGAGGTTCCTGGGCTATGTTTACATTCGTCTCTCTCTTTTTCTCTGCTATTTCCCTTTTCTGTGGTATCGTTATCCTTCATCTAACCTTTCCCCACCTCACGGAGGGACATAGAGAAGGAGAGACAATAGAGAGATAAAGATAGTTGGGTGGTTGACATACATACATACATACATACATACATACATACATAGCTGAGGTATTGGTATATCATTTTGTGATGCTGTTATATTCTCTCCTTTCTCCTCCTCCTCCTCCTCCTCCTCCCCCATCATCCTCCCTCCTCCTCCCCCTCCTCTTTCCTCCTCCCTCCTCCCTCTCCTCCCCCCACCTCCTCCTCCCTCCTCTTCCTCTCTCCTCCCTCCTCCTCTCCTCCCCCACCCCCTCCTCCTCCCTCCTCTTCCCTCTCCTCCCTCCTCCTCTCCCCTCCCCCACCCTCCTCCTCCCCTCCTCTTCCTCTCCTCCCTCCTCCTCTCCTCCTCCTCATACTTACCTTAAATCACGAATTCAATTCCTCTTCCATAACACCTGATAATCCTCCTCCATTCCCCTTTCCGTTCCCTTCCTCCTCCCTCCCTCCCTCCTCCCTCCCTCCTCCCTCCTCCCTCCCCATCTGCTTCTTCCCCTTACACCCTAAACCCCTTCTACTCTCCCACCAGCAACCCTCCCTTTTCCTTCTATCTCTCTTCTTCCTTCTTGCTTTCCCATCCCCCTTTTACCTCCTTCCCTTCTATCCTCTCCTCCTCCCTTACCCTTGTCCTTCCCTCCCTCCCAGGTCACCTTGGCATTAATGGCACCTTACGTGTGTTCATGGCTCGGTGACCTTGACCTTTATATATCACAGTGAGCAAAGTCCTCCCCATACCCACCCCACTCCTCTCCATCCAACCCTCTCCACCCCACCCCACCCCACCCCACCCCACCCCACCCCATACCCACCCCCACCCCACCCCATACCCACCCCACTCCACCCCACCCCTCTCCACCCCACTCCACCTCGTACACCCACACAGCCACACCCATATATAGAACCACCCACACAGCCCTCACACAACCACACCCCTCACACAGCCACACCCACACAGCCACACCCTGGACATGAGTCAGTACAGCGGCAGGGTCTAGCGGGGTAAACGGTAGTGGTTGGCGGTGTGAAAGTTGTCAGGCGCCACAGTACCTGCTCAGGGTCCAGTGACGGCCAGTTTTAGTATTACATTGACGGGAAATTTTTTTGTGGGGGAAAATGTTGTAACCTAACCTAACCGGACCTAACCTAACCGGATCTAACCTAACCGGACCTAACCAGACCTAACCTAACCGGACCTAACCTAATCTAAGTTGACTGTAACCTAATCTATGCTGACCATAACGCAGCTTAACCTAACGTAATTTACTCCTCCTCCTCCTCCCTCCCTCCCTCCCTCCCTCCCTCCCTCATCCCTTGACCTGAGTATCACCTCCCTCCCTCCTCCTCCCTCCATCACTCCCTCCATCATGCTTGACCCTGTACGTACGTGTTTGCTCCTCACTGCCCTTCCTTTGTACTCCTCCCTCCCTCCCACTTCTCCCCCTTTCCCCACCTCTCTCACCCCCTTGTCCTCACCTCCCTACCTTGACGTGTGCAGGTGAAGTAGGGAAAGTGGCATTGCGTAGGACCTTCACCTCACATAAAAGCATTACCACCATCACCATCACCACTACCACTACCACCATCACCAATACCATCACCACCACTACCATCATCATCACCACTACCACCATCATCACTGCTACCAATATCACCAATACTCACCACCATCACCACTACCACCATCATCACCACCACCACCACCACCACCACCACCATCACCACTACCACCACTACCACCACTACCATTCATCAAGTCCATTAAGAGAAAAAACAACATTCTCGGAGGCATCTTTTTTTAAGAATTCATCTGTTTGTCATAGTTTAAGTGACCCAAAGCTTCAGTTAAAGGAAAACACAAAAGTCTTACGAACTATTGAGAATCTTTGTATACCTCAGGTGATTCAGGTACATTGTCGTTCTGAGTCAGGGTGAAAAGAAGTTATCGTAGGAATCTGTTGAAGAGTTTACTGGACTGTGGAGAGAGAGAGAGAGAGAGAGAGAGAGAGAGAGAGAGAGAGAGAGAGAGAGAGAGAGAGAGATTTACCCTATCATCATTTGGCAATAGATAAGAACACACACACACACGCGCGCGCACACACACACACACACACACACACACACACACACACACGCGCACACACACACACGCCACACACACACACACACACACACACCCGCGCCCCACACACACACGCGCGCGCACACACACACACACACACATCCTATTTTTAACAAGTGTGCGTACTGTATGTGTTTATCAGAGTGTACATGTGTGCGGATTTTTACTTAATGTGTACCAGTGTGTGTGCGAATCATGACATTAACATGGGTATATGTGAGTGTGTGCACTTTTTTGTTCAATGTGTGTGTGCATGACCCGTCAAGGCCCTACACTCAAGGAAGTGTTTGGTTGACATCTGACCTGTAACAAGGCTGGGCGCAACACCTATTTAACTCGGGGTCATGACCTTAGAAAAAAAAATCTGAGGTCATGTGTTTTAAGAGGAGTTATTGGATGACGTGAAGATTAACCCCCCCCCCAAGCTTATTTGTCCTTGATTTAACCACACGAACATTAACCCAACCCAATCCAACCCAACAACTTAGGTATCGTTAGCTGGGGGGGTTAATCTTCAGCTGAATCGAGTTATTTGTAAGATACATTGAACACACCAAAGATTACAACACACATCACGCCTCTCATATATCCGGGTCAAGTGGTGTCATAACTCAAGTTTACGTTATCGAGAAATACAAATTATGTTTTTAAGCTGATCTTCAATATTATTTTTTTAGTGTGTGTTGTGGTGTTGTGGATTAAATTTTGAAATTATTTAAGAAACAATATTAGATCTTTCTGTTTTTTGGGGGGGGGAGGTGATAATAGTTTGTTAAAAATTATTATTATTATTTTTATGTTATTGTTACTTTTATTATTGCTTTATTATTATTATTATTATTATTATTATTATTATTATTATTATTAGTAGTAGTAGTAGTAGTAGTAGTAGTAATGGTGGTAATAATATGAATATAAATTATACTTAAGAATATTCCACCAGTCTAACTTCCTCTCTCACCCTCCGCAGGCGTGTTGGTGGGGGCGTCGCGGGCGGGAGAGGGCATGTACGGGTGTGGAGGCTGGAGTAGCGAGGGCGTGGCGTCCTATGAGGCTCTCCGCTGGGCCCTGGCTCGCGCTAACCTAGACGGCGGAGGGCTTGGCTCTAGGATACTCACAGATTCCTTTATCCCCGGCGTCAAGTTTGGTGAGTGTGTGTGTGTGTGTGTGTAGGTGAGTGATTTTCCCTTCTATGTGTGTACGATTTCCCTGTGTCATGTAATTTCCTCCTTGAATGTGTGTGTGTGTGTGTGATTATCATCCATCAATATCCACCCACCCATTCATCCATCCATCCCTCTTACAGGAGTTCACGTGTACGACTCCTGCGGCCACGGAGAGCGAGCTGCAGCAGGTCTAGGAGAGGTGTTCCCTGTGGTGCGTGAGGGCCCCTCCTCCTGCTCCCCCCTCAGTAACGACACCCTCCTGGCCCTGGGCGTCGTCGACCTCACCGGCGTCACCTCCACACACCACAACCTCGCCAGGCTCCTGCAGAAGTATCACGTTCCTGTGGTTAATGTGGCGGCGTCCGTGCTCATCCCAGCTGAGGAGAGGGGCAAGGTGAGTGTGAGAGTTATAGGCGCCAGGTGAGTGTGAGAGTTACAGGCGCCGGGTGAGTGTGAGAGTTATAGGTACCGGGTGAGTGTGAGGGTTGCAGGGTGAATGTGAGAGTTATAGGTGCTGGGTGGGTGTGAATGTGAGACTGGTATCGGGTATTGATGGTGGTGAATTTATTGGAGAAGTTTGTGGTATATGTTTATTACGTTCGAGGCTGTGTGTGTGTGTGTGTGTGTGTGTGTGTGTGTGTGTGTGTGTGTGTGTTTTAACCCGAAACTTTGAGCGCAACAAAATCCCCAATTTTTATTTAGACTAATCGATTTCAAACTTGTTGGTCGATTAATTGTCAATACCACTGAAAATCTATCTATATTCTTTATTTAATGAGGTCAAGAGGTCACTATAGCACACAGACTAACCAAGAGTCATTCACTATAAAAAAGAATAACTACCCTTAGTAAGCTAACCTACTCCTACCCCTCCTCAGGTAAGGTTAGGTTAGGTTGCAGTAAATCGTCATGTGAAATAAACTGGGGTGTCTATTCTTCATGTGATACCATAATTTTAATTCATAGCCTTATTTGAAAGAGAGTAAGTTTATGTTGCAAAACCTAGGATGTCGATGTTGCAAGACGCAGCCTAAACTATTGACGTTGCTTGCAGTTGTAGGGGGAGTGGGGGGAGGCCACTAGAAATTGACGTGGTCCGTTTAATGCAGTGGTGTCAAACTCAAAACCTTTCGAGAGCCAATTGTTATTTTAGTTACCCTCTTCAGGGCCAACACAAATGCTAGATCACATATTTGCAGGATTAAAGTTTACAGCTTCACACATTGCCTTCCCTGGCTTACCAGGAATACCTCATTTGGGTTTGTCTGATCTTAAGTATGTAAAATTCATTTTACTAAATAAACATTATTATATCTATTTCTTTCATAATTTCACGGGATGATAAATTTTACCGCCATCCCGCGGGCCACACCTGACCATCCGAAGGGCCACATTTGGCCCGCGGGCCATAAGTTTGACACCCCCTGTCTTACACCTCACAAAATTGTTGACCAAAATATACTTTTTTCTCAGAATTGAAATTTAAGGGGTTTAACTAATTAAGTACAGTCAGAATAACACACAAACCCTAAATCACACCTTAGAAACCCATAGTTGATGAGTAATTAGCATTGAAAAATGTCAGTAAAATCTTTCAAGGGTTATTTTGGCCACTAATTACTCTGAAATCGAACCGTGAACTATATAGTCATAATCAGCAACCTCGTGAGTACCCATACTGTGATTTTCAGCAAAATCTAATTTTTGGCCAAAAACCACCAAAAAAAGTAAGTCTAATACCTTACAAAATTTTTGACCAAAATATACTTTTTTCTCAGAATTGAAATTTAAGGGGTTTGACACCCCTGGTTTAATATGTTTGTGTGCGTGAGTATTGGAGGCGTTAATAGATGGTTTACAAGGTTAACTGTTATCTATCCGAGCTGGTCGCTTCATACACAAGAATAGAGTGTAAAGTTTGTGTACCGTTACCTGTTCTTGGTGTTTTCTTTGGGTTAGGTTAAATTAAAAGTGGTAATGTTAGGTTAAAATAGGTCATAGGAGGTTAGGTTAGATGTAGATTAAATTTGATATAGGTTAGAAGTGAGATTTAGTTGATGTGGGCTAGGTTAAAGGGGGGTTAGATTTAGTATGGGTTAGTTTAGATTAGTTTAGTTTAGCAGTAGAATAGGTTTAGGTTACAGGTAAGTTAGATTAGATTAGAGATAAATAAATTAGAATAAAGTCGTTTTGGGCCGGGTTCAGGAGATTAAGTGAGTCCCAGCTACTAACCCATCAAAGAAAACGGGAGATGCTGAAGGATAGGTCAAGAGAGGTTCATTCGTAACAGATCGGTCAAATGAGATCCATAATTCCATAATATATTGCTCCTAAGATGGTGGACGATGTGATGTGACTAAAACGATGATTTAATGAGCTGGAAGAAGCTGGATAATAGAATATATTATAAATTATTTGCTCATCAATGTATGTATGTACAGTATGTTTGTGCATATAAATATATGTATCTTTCAATTCATTCAATATTGTGTATCTGTTAATTATCTGGCTGTCTTTATCTATCTATCTATCTATCTGTCTGTCTGTCTGTCTGTCTGTCTGTCTGTCTGTCTGTCTGTCTGTCTGTGCTGCCTTTAAACACCTTTATAGGCACTGGTAGCATCTCTGAGAATACTCTCAGTTATGAGTCGTTCAATTCCGTAGAGGTTTTTAATTTGACCTCAACTGTGTATACCTAAGCTGACCTTCCTAAATCTGATCTAACTTAATACCTTACCTAAGCTTTAATGTGATCCATCTTCCCTGCTGCTTTAACCTAACCTACTGTAAGTTAATGTAATGTCAATTAACCTCATTATTACATATAAGTTTGTGTTACTTGTAAAGGAATTATTACACTCCTAGCCATAGGTGTTAAATATGTGTCCAGCTAGTTAAGAGAGACATAGACTGGTGTGTTATGTGTCTCTTTAACATGTATACTGATGTGTTATGTGTCTCTTTAACATGTATACTGATGTGTTATGTGCCTTTTAACATGTAATACTGATGTGTTATGTGTCTTTATGTATACTGATGTGTATGTGTCTCTTTAACATGTATACTGATGTTATGTCTTTTAACATGTATACTGATGTGTTATGTGTCTCTTGTATACTGATGTGTTTGATGGAGGGAGCACACAACGAGGCATGTATTATGCAGAGGTGGTCAGAGTGCCATCACTGGCTGCTTTTACAGGACAGCAGTCATCACAGGTTTGATCCTCAGAAGTGCCAGTTCTATTGGGTCTCAGTTCTAATGGGTTCCAGTTCTTGGCTCACTTCTAATGGATCCCCAGTCCTAATAGACCCAAATCTAACCTAAGTTTTGTCTTGTTGACTTTAAAGTATTAACATTCAAATCCTTTTTATTCATTGACATTTGCTTGTTTGCCATTATGACCCAAATTCTGTATTTTCACTAATAAGATTATAAGTCCTGAAAATTTTTGTTTATTTTACGTCCAGGTTGAGTTAAAATTCAGGAACCTGGTGCATTTAGCGCTGAGTGACGGTCGAGTGTCAGGCGTGGTAGTGGTGGCCAGCGGCAGTACCCTCTCTCAGGTAGACTGGATTCTTATTGTTGTTCTTTCAGTCTAATGCAGTTTATACAGTTTGATACAGAGATACAGTCTTATTGGGGGTAAAGATTTATTCCATGAATTGTACGTAAGTTTAGAGGTTGATTACAGAAGTTAGTGATACATTACAGTTGTATTTCACAAATTGTATATAAGTAGAGGTGACAAATACAGTAAAATATAATGGTCAAATCAGTTTTATTTACAACAGCAGCATAGATCAAACTTATAATATTATTTAACTGTGTCATCCACTCTTAATTGTTGTCTCTGATACATTGGATAGGATTTGGACCTCATAGAATCAGCTCAAAATTCTGTAAATATCACATCTCTTCATCTTCATAACACCATTTAATCTGGTTACAGCTGTTGTCGACTATCAAAGCAGAGAGCTCCCAAACGCGCAGGGTGTACTGGCTGCTCTCCGACCTACCAGATAATGAGCTGGACCTGGTGCGTGAGGTGGCCCGGCTCACCAGAGGTCTGTTCGTCATGTCTAACTCTCCTCCGGTTCTTCAAGAGTTTGAAAATCACTGGAAAACATTACAGGATGTGAAGCTCGAGGTATGTTGAGGAAGTAATGGTGGTCACTATCCTGCCAGATTTAGTACCTATTGTTGTCTCACAAATTAATGAGGATTTGGACTATCAGGACTGATGCTTTTGTCTAGAATTCACTGAAGTGTTATAGGGAAGAGAATGCTTCTTACTTAAAGCTAATTCATCCAGTCATAAAGGTTCAGTTTTGCTCCACAATTTTATCTTCTTATTTTTGGATGGAATCTTTACCAATACATTTGTTTTTAAGGTTAGGTTAGGTTAAGAATGGTTAGGTTCCAGGTAGGAAAGTCCTTCTCAGCTATGGCTCTGCCGTAACAGTGGTTTGTTGTCCACAGCCCACAGCAGAGAATGAATGGGTGTTAGGCTACCTGCAGCAGGAGAAGGGTTGCCAGCTGGATGGTTTGCCAATTCCTACTGAAGACACCAGCAGCAGTGACGGCACTCCACCAAAACAGTTGCCCATCTGCCGCTCCTTTCGCATGCGGGATGACGACCTGGACGTCTTGGCCAGGACCAGAGCTGTTCTTCCTGCCATCCACGGCTTGTTTACCTTCTTCACGGCCATGAAGAATGCTTGGAGGTTGAAATGTCGGAACAGGTGAGGCAATAATTGTCATTATAAAAACTTGCCTGACAAACTGGAAGAACAGCATGATTGTTTGCCCTATGTCCGGCACATCTGTCTGTCCACAATTTTTCTGTTCCCAGTAATTACACAAAAAACTCTAAAGTGTAGAAGATAATAAGACAAAGTCTGTAACATACTTTAAATATTTTTTAATTAGAAAATAAATGGCTGACTTACCTGTGATGGACTTGTACAATGGTGCAGTGCAGCCTGTACTGTACAGTGAATGACCAAACACTTTTTACATATTTTAGTAAAACTCTTTTCTTGTTAAAATATCCACTTTTACGGTGAGAGATCTTGTGAACATTTCATTTTTATTACTATTTTGAATGATACATATCACTTGCCAATGACTAATAAAAGGATCTTCATTTCTACAGGCGTGGAGTGTGTGATGCCTTGCAGGATATGGGAAGAAAGGAGCTATTGGCAGATTACTTAACGCCCCTCAGGTTCCTGCATGATGGCCCAGGTTCTCGGAGTGTGATGAACCTGAAGGGCGGCAAGCGGAGGAACGACCGAACAGGGAAGCTCTCTAACGCAGCCCTTGGTCTCTACACCATCATCACTGACCCTGGCAACTCTAGCGTCACTATCCAGCAGGTGTGTATGTTGGGGGGTGTGTGATCCAGCAGGTGTGTATGTTGGGAGGTGTGTGATCCAGCAGGTGTGTATGTTGGGAGGTGTGTGATCCAGCAGGTGTATATGTAGGGAGGTGTGTGATCCAGTGGGTGTGTACATTGGAGGGGTGTGATCCAGGTGGTGGTATAATGATTATGTGGCAGTATAGTGCTGGACCTTCATCCAGTAAATATGTCCTTGAGAGTTATGCAGTTAAACACAGTTTCAGGTAACTTATTTACTACATAGAAGCATAAGTGGTTCACAGTTTTGCTCAGTATTACCTTCATTATGGGTTCATTTTGAGTCGGTAATTTTTAGTTAATTGCTCTCTGTTTACTGAAGGCTGGAGGTGAGGACGTAGGAATGCCTTCCGAGTGTACTTTTACCTTACTTTTACTTGGGTGTATGTCATCATCCATATGGGCATCTTATGAATGTGGCAACTTGAACAGATCAAAGTCGTTTTCGATTGAACTTGAAATGTAAACACACTAAGATCTCCAACAAATTGAATAATCGGTATTTTTTCGTTTTAGTTTTAATACTTGTATACTGTTTTGCCCTCAACATATTTCACCAATTGAAATGAATGTTTTTCAATATTTCTGGTATTTATGCTAACTGTTCTTGTCCCGGCAGAGTATGGTGGTGGAGAATTCAACGTTGCGGATGACAGATGACTCCCTGGTTCTGGAGGAAGTGGGTTGTCCGCGGGGTTCTTGCGGCACCTGCCTCACCGTATCCAGCACCGAGAATGAGGTGGGCAGGTCAGGGTGTCTGAGGGCTTCACCTATCAGCAAATATCACATTCTGTACTATTGTGAGGACAACTGAATTGTATTTTATTGAGGTTTAATTTAAAATACTGTTTATTCAAAATAAGTACAATTTAATCTAAAAGCTGTATACTGTAGCTCAGCACATGCCACAGCAAATAACACTCTGGTGTCCTAAAGAGACAAAATGTAGCATATGTCTCTAAATACCTGAAGGACTTATGTGTACTGTCTGTGAGAACCTCAAATATTGAATGATGATATCTTCTGTAGACAAATTTCAATGGACAAGCTAGACTTAACCTATTTAACATTAGACAAGATGGCTTCTAGCTTTTGCGTGATAAGTGGAGTTTTTAATTCAATACAGTATTTATTGTAAAAATCCACTTAAACATTGTCCTTAGGTAGGGAAGGAAACTGATTTATTTTGGGGTCACTTGGACAAACTGGCGTGCATTAAAAGTTAGGACCAGTTATATGCAGTTATATGAATAAAAGTCCTCTTGCTTCACACTTCTCCCATAACTCATACAAAAAATCAATATAAATTCTGTGTAGTCTAATACCTAGATGCTCTAAGCAGGATGGTAACGTGTCACTGTCTGTGGAAGCAGAAAAACATGTGTTCCTGCCATCACCAGACCACATAATTGTTGCTGCTCTCTTCCCTATGCACCGACCCTCTCCTGATGGTAAGACACCCAGCCCACCCATCCTCTGCTGCCAAAGATTCTTCCTGTTCCCTGCATCTCAACCTCCTCTTGTGTCTTTACCTTTTTAGTTGTTGAATCTCCATCTTCTTTACCTCTATCATCTTCATTTTTGTTTTCATATCCTCTGCCACTGAGGTAGGAGAAATTGAGATGCTGTAAAAATATGATATACCAGTATGTCATGAATTTTTGGGGGGGAGTGGTGAAGGCTCAACTTGGGTCATCATATTCTGTAATGGGAGAAAACATCATGGATATAGAGTGTCAATAAACCTTATAGTTGTAGAAAATTTGCTTTTATATACTTTGTGAGTTGTTGAAAATGATAAATTAGTTGACAGATCGAGGAACATATTGCTACAGTACAGGATTAATTATTTCTTGGTGCATTTCTCAGGAACAGACTGTAGTGACATCATCAACGGGGAGACGATGCAGGAGGTGGAAGCCTTCCTGTGGGCGGTGGACCAGATCAACCAGCACCAAAAGTTGTTGCCAGCCACCACCCTCGGTGCTGTGGTTCTGGACACCTGTGGCTCTAGAGTGAGTACATTCACTGTGGTTAACAGACATCAGCCTTCTCAAGTTTGACCAGCTGGTTGTGATATTGCAGTCTTTTGTTTTTGTAAGCTGGTCTCTCTCTTGTTCTAGTTGTATTAAAGTTTACAGTTGTTGCATCTTATAAATTAAAAGATATATATGAGCTATTATTTCCAATATACTGTAGTAAAATTAGAGCAATGTAAGAGTCATAAAACTTGAATAATGAATTTTTGTCATCTATTCCCTTAATGGTGATTTCCTCACAAACTTCTTTTCCAGGTCCTCACTTAAAAACAAAAGAAGGCTGATTTGTTGATGAAAGACTGTAGGACTCTACAACATAACCAGGAATAACAATTGTGGTAAATCATGATTCACAATACCTAGCTTCTTTCACCAACAGATCCGGACCATGAACCAAGTGACAAGCCTGGTGAAGAGCTCGCTGCCTGGGATCAATGTCGACATTAACGACGTCCAGATCTTCATCACCTCACTCGACCCAGAGACGGCCAGGGTGACGGGCGAGATGCTCTCCTCCCTCAACATCACCTCCATCAACATGGGTCCATCACAGGCACACTCGCCCTACGCCTTGCAGATGAGTCCCCCTGTCAACATGGAGGCCGAGGCGATGGTCCAGGTATAGTAGATAATGACTATAGTACAACAGAGGTTTCCTGAGCTATGTAGTCCAGCAGATACATTTGTGGTGTGATACAGACCTGAGACTGTGTTATGCAACTGAGGGTTCATCATGATGTTGAGTTGCACAAGAGAGGAGTTAAGATATTTAGGAAGTGTAGCAATGGTGGATGTGTAACAGCAGTTGACAGGAGTGTGCAGGTAGTATGATTTACTGTCTTCACCAACACACTGTCTGTATTTCAATCTTTGTGTCTTACATCAAGGTCTATAGTTTGTTTAATCAAGTCCTCCTTATACTGTCAGAGAATTTTCCTCAGACTTGCTCGAGTTTTTGCTTAAGGTCGGGCAGTAAGGAAGGGATTTTATTTACAATATACCCTGTAATGTACTGTATTTGAATTATTGCAAAAAGTAACACCATCTCGTCAACTTTTTCTGAGTACTGTACTGTCCATTGATTTCTTTCATTCGGTACAGTATTTGGATTCAGAATAAACTGTGTATATAACTTTAATTCCCTCACCAGATGCTGCGGTTCCTCGGGTGGGACTATGTGTCACTCGTGGTGTCTACGGAGGATTTTGAGAGTGTGGCCGGGGCCGAGGCCTTCAGGACGGTAGCCCAGGCATCTCGGATCTGCCTTGCCCAAGATTTCAAGATGGCTCCCCTTGAACCCACAGCCATGGTCACCCTCGCTGACCAGGTAACTTAATGAATGCTTCTAATCAGGGGTATCTATTAATAAGAATTTCATTATTGGAGTCAGCTCAACCAGGATCATTTTGTGTGTCTTTATTGACTGACAAATGGGACTTACTCAGCTGGTATGTAACTGCTAATTGTTGGGGTGGAGGTTAGAGGCACATTCTTGAGTAGGAGGATGGCAATAAATAACCAAAATTTATTGCATGGTTACGGTAATTAACTTGACGTCTATGGCATCCCACAGGTCATAAGTGAACTCTGCTGCTCATAACAGAAAATGTGACCATTAAAGTAAAATAGGAGGTTTTAGATACATGTGGCAAAACTTGTTTAAACAAGTACTGAATCGTATATATAAATTGATTTGTGGAGGTAAACGTAAGGGAAGACTTAGAAATTAATACTGTAATTAATATCACTGGACATATACCATAACATGTTTGTCTGAAGGAACAATGGTGGAGATTTACTAATTCATCTTTTAATCCTGAGGAGTTTATTACATGTTGTAGTATTACCTAGATGTCTGGTAAGGCAGTTAAAGATGATAATAAAGGTATTTATAGAGTTGATTAATACAACTGAAAAATGTATGTTTCATAGCTTGTGGAGCAGTTGACGGACAAGGCAGTGACTGGTGCACGTGCAGTTGTCCTCTTCTTGACGGTGGATGACACGAAGGATCTCCTGGCTGCCGTCCAGAGGGCTGTGCTGTCTCATCGCTTACTCAAACACCAGCTTGTCTTCCTGGGTCCTTCTATCTGGGGTGACCACAAGGAGAGGGTATGTGTCCTGGGAATTATGAGTACTGTACAGTAATATTCAATGTTCTTAAAATTATGCTTGTTTTCCTTTGTGTTCATAGAAAGAATCCAACAGTCAAATTCTTACTGAAGAACTTAATTTAAATATGGTACTGTCCAGTATATTAAACTCCTGAGTAAAACAATTATCAGGTACAGTACTCATACAGTGAACATCATTTATAGAGCAGCTAGCACAACTAGAAATACAGAGTGCTTGATTTAGTAGGTATGGAGTAACTCTGAATAAAGGATGTCGGTATATTGATTTACTCTGTGTAACTCTCAAGGTTTTTCATTAATGCCGAGATGGAAGACCCAAAGAGAATATTAGACTTAAGAGTCTCAGGATCAAAGGGCCAGTTACTTATCTACTGTAAGTTGTTATACGAATAAAACGAACTACAGTGTCTTTGAAGGATGAAAGAAACACAGAAGTTTTTAGAGATTAACCATTGTTGGGTTAATAACTTTTCTGTACTCTATTTAGATGAATGAGGGTTATGTTCTAGACATCAAGTGAATTGTTCAGTTTGTCTGGTGACCAATTATTAATGAAAATGTAGCATAAATTCATAGTAAATAATATTTCAGTTACGTGAATTTGATGCTGAACTCGGAGGAGCTTTGGTACTGAAAGATGGACAACAGGATGTGAGGGACTTCATAGCACACTACCGACTCCTCACCCCTGAGAAGAACACCCGAAACCCCTGGTTCAATGAATACTGGGAACAGGTGTGTAGTGAGGCAGTCATGTATGTACTACTGTAGTTGGTGACTGGTGAGATGAACCCCAGTCCTACTAAAGCTAATATAGTACAACCTGACATATCTCAACCATTAGGAATGAGGTCTTGTCTGTGTCCCAGTACTAAGAGACTCCAATCCTCGTGTATACCATGTGGCTTGGTAGTTCTGAGGCTCATATAATCAAGAATCTTTTAGCTCTAATTCTGTTATACAAAACTTCACATTCATTATTCCTGCATATGTTATGCCTGCCATAGTTACCTTAAATACTTCAAGATCAGCAAAAGTTTACTGCCAGGTGTCTACTTGTTACCTTATATAATCAGTCCCAATAATTTGTGGTACCTGTATAACCTGAACTATTGAATATGTTGTGTTACTAGTTATCCTGACTGGTGGAAGAGGTAAGTGAATTGTAGAATCCACCCATCCATCAAATTTCATTGGATTTTTGCATCACTAGCTGCAAATTGTGTGTATGGATGATAAGAGGTGCTAAGATGGTTTAGTTCTTGAGTCCGTCCATCTTGCCTATAGTGTTGAGTCAGGACGTTGTGTCATTTTCAGATGAATCTTATTTAGTATTGTATGTAAAATATTGTCAGTTCCCTAATCTCCATTACCCTAATGTATTGTGTATTTATAGGAGTTTGGGTGTGTGGGATCAGATTGTGAGTCAAATTCTGGTCTGCTACCTGTCGTGCCCTACTTAACAATACCATCAACTCCAAGGGTCGTGCAGGCCACCTTCTCCTTTGGTGCAGCCCTCACGCAGCTCATAAGTCACCTCTGTCCTCAACATGGTGGTGCAATGTGCCCAGGGTTACCAAAGTGAGTTATAAAGAAGTTTGTATTGTTTTGTGGAAAGAATCTAAATACTGTACAGTAAGTCAGTCCCAGAATATTATGAATCAGATTTAACCTCTTGTGTACAGTGTCCCAGTAGTGAGGGGATCAAAGGTAGAGAGAGAAAGTTGGGCTATAGTAGGTATGCAAACACTTGGAAATGAGTAGAGAGATTGATAAGTGCTTTATTGACAGAGAGAGAAAGAGAGATAATTGCTTTACTGTGAGAGAGAGAGAGAGAGAGAGAGAGAGAGAGAGTGAGAAAGTGATAATGATGGACAATTTAAATGCAGGAGTTGCTGATAGAAAAAAAAAAAATGGGGTAATATAGGTTGCCAAAAGTACAAATAAAAGAATAGAAGAACCAAGAGTACAAATAAAGGGTACAACCCCCCAAAAAATATAGTACAGTAAAACAAATGCCTACTTGATGTTTTGTCCTCACACAGGTGGCGCCAGAGGACAGTGTTCAACGAGTTCCTCCGCAACACTGAGGTCTCGCGGGTGGACAAACCCTCCGAGTACTTCCAGTTTACAGAGAACTTCCACGGCAATGCCCCACTTGAGGTATACAGCCTTATGAGACACTCGGATCACAGACCAGTCAAGTATAAATATGAGAAGGTAAGAATTGTGTTTAATCTCTTGTTGGAAAATTAACCTAAACATAAATTGGAATATGTCTGCAAATATCTAGCTAAAATTTTTTTTAATGTCATGCTCAGTGTTGTGTCAATAATGTATCAGTTTCTATGACCACCAGGTTGGTAGGTATGTAGACAGTGGACTCACCCTCGGGAATGCCATGGTGGAGTATCACAATGGCTCCCTCACCCGCATGGACCAGCTGCCCTCCTCATGTGTGACTGGATGCTCCTGTAACCATCGCGAAACAGACTACGTCTTCATCGATTCACCAGACAAGTTGTATGTTGTGGCGACCTTCAATGTCCACCAGAAGGGTGACCGACCACTTGAGTGTGGCAGCTTAAATGGTGACAAGGTGTGTCTGAAGGTTGATTAGAATTTTGGTGTTGGATTCATATTTTTTAAAAATTCACTCTTAAACTTTTTCCCCTAACTTCTTATGTAAGAATACCCAGTATGGTGTATCTTTCTCACTTCACACATGACTCATAAGTTGATGCATAAATGGCACTAAAATCACTATGAGAAAACTGCACTATAACAAGATGAGTTTTCATAACCCTGAGCTTGTGAACAAAAGTGACATTTGAATTTTTGAGCATCTGAGCATATAGGACATCAATTTGTGGTGGTTGATATTGTCCATGGTCTGTTATCTGTTGTTTTCTCTGCAGAGTTTTGATATTTCTACATTATCAAGAGTATTCTCTAGCAGATTCTTTTCAGGTATTTGAGTAGTGATACAAATATGAAACAACAGAACAGTTTTGATGTGGAAAGTTCCAGGATTATATCCCCTAAATTTTATACCATGCTCAATAACTTTAGAGAGGCTGGCGGAGTAAAATGATACAAGGTATAGGTACCTGTATACAGCTTCACATCAAAACATTCTTGATTGAGCCTTGAAAGCTGCCACCTTTCTTAATTTTGTCAAGTCCTCACTCCTGCTTCGAGGAAGACTCGGAGGCTGAGGGATGGCCAAACTCCCGCCTCCAAATAATCTGATGGGTACCTGTAGTAGACTATAATTACAGGAATTAAGTAGGGTACCTTTTTATATAATTAGGTAAATGTTTTTGTCAAGAGGCTGCAATGCTTTAAATCTCTTTCAGAAAAGGATAGCATCAGATTTCATAGTTTATCATATGATAGTAACTCTTCATATTCTAGGCACAGTGGAAAGGTGGTCTCTATCTCCCACTAAGTAGGAACACTGCCACTGATACTAGAATTTATATGATTGCTATCACCTGCATATTTCTGACCACCACCACCAGGGCATCCAGAGTGTGGAAGCATTGTTATGGTCTCTGGAGCGTCTCAACTCCGACCCTAAGATCCTTCCTGGAGTGACTCTGGGAGCCATCATCCTGGACGCCTGCACCAGCAAGGAGAAAGTGGTGCGGGACCTGACCAACTTCCTCACTGGTCGTATTCCTGAGAGGATGAGGAAGAAGGTGAGGCTTGCTGTGTTTTCCCAAGGGGATTGCTACAGGCCTCGATCTGTCTCATATGTAACAGCAAGCAAAAATGCATCAGATTAAATTTAACTTGCCTAACAATCTTAAGGTAAATTGGGTTAGGTTTGGGGTTCATTATGTGTCATTGTGGCTCATTCTTGATTTCAACTGTCACTGTATTTATTTATAGTCAAAAGACAGTTAGATATGGACGACACTCGCCACTCGGAGCAACGGATTCAAGTTGGATAAGTTTAGGTTTAGGAGGGAGATAGGAAGAAACTGGTTCACAAATAGGGTGGTGGACGAGTGGAACAAGCTTAGCAACTTTGTAGTAAGTGCGGGAACTCTGGAAAGTTTCAAAAGGAGGCTAGATAGATTCATGGATGATAGAGAGTGCTAGTAACTCTCGACAGGAGCTGCCATGCACAGGCCAACCGGCCTATTGCAGACTCCTTATTTTCTTATGTTCTTATGACCTGGTTGGTATGGTTTAAGATACATTTCACCGTGTTTATGATGTACACTCAATCCACCAATGGCCTCCATAGGTGCCGTCTTCAAATAACATCGTCGGGTTAATCGCTGGTGGTACTGGAGAGGAGGTGCGTCAGGTGATAGATGTGACACAACCTTACGGCATCACCACCATCGCCACGCAGGCCTCCAACAGTGCATATTCCAACACACGCCGTTTCCCTGTGCTCTTACGTCTAGCACCCCCCAATGATGTTGTGGTAAAGCTCATGTACTCTGTGGTCAGACTTACTCACTCATTTCCTTCATTGTTTGTCACCTTGTCTTTTGTTTACTTCTTGGATATTCACTGTTAATTTATCATCTCACTATTTATCTATTTACAAGCTGAATTACTAAATGTTATTAGTTCTGTCCAATTAATAATATTATTATTATTACGTATAAATATTATCTATGATTGTATTAATATTATTATTACATAGGTAAAATAGCTCTTATGATCACCTTCAGGGAGGAGCCATCGCATCCCTACTGCTGTACTGGAGGTGGGAGGTATTCAGCGTCGTGTACTCTGATGGCGGCACAGCTGGGGACATCCACAAACACCTCCTGCGAGAAACAGAACCCCACAATCTGAAGGCCGCCGTAGCTGAGCCAGTGCCTCTCAAGGTAATACAACTTGTCAACAGTGCATAACAGAGACGTGACTGACCGCCTAAGCAGAGCTAACAGGCCAATCAGTGCAGTAGAGTACAGTATAGTATGGTAGAGTTGAGTAGAGTGCAGTATAGTAGAGTACAATAAGTATAGTGCAGTATGTGGAGTACAGTACAGTACAGTGCAGTATAGTATAGTAGAGTTGAGTAGAGTACAGTTCAGTAGAGTTGAATATACAGTACTATAGTACAGTTGAGTAGAGTACAGTTGAAAATACATTAATCTGTAGTTAGATAGAAAGGATTAAATTAAAATTAAAAGGGTAAAATGGATGAATATACTTTATTATGAATTATAAAAATATACAACAAAATTAAACCATATAAAACTCAATACTGTGTTTGTTCCTTCACAGGTTGACCAGATAGACTACATGATGGGTGTGTGGAGCAAACTAGCCGAGGCAGCACAACAGGGTGCCCGGGCAGTTGTCCTGCTGTTGGAGCCACACCATGCTGCACTGTTCCTCCAGGCAGCAGCCAGGCTCCGTACAGAAGGTCTCTTGCATACTGGCGATTTTGTGTTCATTATGGCCGAGTCTCCCCTGCCATTCATACAACATGAGTGAGTGAATTTCGTTTTTTTTTCGTTTTTTCAAGTCCTCTCCTGGTGTGGTGCAACACACTCTCTCTTCACTTACTGCTTATATTTTAATTGCTTTAGGAGATGTGTTATGCTATGGTTTTCCCACCTACAGCAAGGCCATAAGATGTTCACCAGGTTTATCTTTGTCTTCATAGAAAAAAAAAGTATGTTAATTGATATGTACTGAAAATATTCTTGATTCTGTCTCTCCCGTGCCATGTGGGAAAAGACATTCAAGAGTGATAAAACACTTCCTCATATCCTCCACCCACACAGTGCCTGACATTAGTTAAATACTGTATTCTAATTATGAGGAATTCTTCATTAATAGCCCCATTGTCACACTATATTTCTGTTTCTAGGAGTGAGGCGTTGGGCATGGTAGTGGTGCAGCCGATCAGTGGTGCTGTACAGGGGTTCCAGACTTATATCAAGGGCCTGTCACTAGCCAACCACACTGCCTACCCCTGGTTTCATGAATTCTGGGCGGAGGTGAGGCAATTTCTGCTGGTTTGACCTAATACTGTGCTTTACCTTGCATTTCAGCACTTGGGGTAAAAAATTTAATAGAGGTACAACTTTACATGCTGGTTAAGGATCTTGGTTCACAATTTAAAAATTCGAGTAATTCTTCTTAGTTAATATGGATAAAGATCACCTTCACTAATTTAATTATATGTTGACTTCTATTTTCATTTCTTTACTTACTCCAACATTTGGTTATATTTTTCTCCTTACATGATACTTGTCTATTAACTGTCATTGATTTTTGGTAAAGATGATAGTTACCAGGATTAGTAAACCACATTCACCAAGCTGTAGATTCTCACAATAGACATCTTTTCGAAATAAAAAATATGATTAGTTCTGCTGCTATCTGATAACATGTATGGTATACCTTTATAGTATTGTGTCAAGATGTGTATGTGTTTCTTTACAGTTATTTAAGTGCCAAGGTGCCGGATGCTTCACTGGAGCAGCACGAGATCTTTCGGGCTACAAATTCCGCCAGGTTGAAGATGTTGTGAGCATCATAAATGGATTATCTCTTCTCGGCCAGGGACTCGACAGGTGGCGAAGGGAGGCATGTCCAGGTTAGGATCCCACAGCTACCATGTGTCTCAGAACATATGCAGGGTCATCCTGAACATGTCATGAGAAAACATAAAATTTCAGAATCTTTTCTTTTTTCTTGTAAGAGTTTTGAGTATAAGTACAGACCATCCCGGATTTTTACCAAGACATGGCCATCTTCAGCCATATTGACTGATCCTATGAGTTGATAGTTCAATTGTTCCTGAAAGAAAATATTCATTTGTCTGAGAGAATAAGGCTTATTAAACTCTAAATATACAGTATCTCTATTTAATTCATCAGTCAGTCATTGCAGATCATCAGTAAGTCACAGATCCATTTATCCCAGGCCTCTTTAAATCTTCCTTGGGCCTTACATCAAAGGATTTACTATGCTGTACTTGCAGTATAATCGAAATCGGCGGTGAAGAGGATAAAAGTAAAGTAAAAGTAAATATATTTTACCCCACAGATCAGCCCAGTGACTCGTGTGATGAGATGACATCAGATTCCCACTACAGGGACAAGATGTTCCACTATACTCGCTCACTCAACAAGCAGGGTGTGGATGGACGAACAGTTGCCTTCACTGTTGATGGTCACAACCGCGCCGCCACCCTTCAGGTGCGATAAAACACGCAATTGAAGAAAAGTTGTCATTATAAGGCAGAAACTTTTATTAATATAATACAGTAGTCTCTTCTTCACTTTTGAGTACAGTAGAAGGTCACACTTGTACACTCACTAAAGAAATATTCTACAATCTTGCCTCTGAAACCAACTGCAATGATCACTGTCAGAGAAGCCGTGACAAGTGTTATCAGATTTCTTGGCCCGGTGTGTCATCTTGTATAACCCTGAAAAGGTGCAGAATAATATTTTAGTGAGTGTACATAGCCTTGTCTTGTAACTTTCTACACCTTTCTTACATGACTCTCCTTTCATATTTCTCCTTCTCTTTGTGGTCTCTGTACCTCTTGATCTGCCTCACACATAGAGAGCCATAGGAAGGTATTGTAGTAGAATTTCCAGAGAAGACAAGTTAGTTTTATACAACTTTTTCTGTAGGTCCATGTACGTTAACTTTGAGCAGAGTTTGACATATAAATATGCTTAAAAAATCCAGAAATTTGGTGTCTAGTCAGGTGTTGTTACAAGGCATGGCATATGGTATATTACACTTGGAGATGAAGTCAAAAAATCACTGAAAAATTAGAAGGAAAAAAATGCACCAAATTTATTCTATATCTCGCTTATTGTTCCTCTAGGTGCTAAACTTCCGCCGTGTTGGTGCTCGTCGAGGTGCTGGGCTGCTGCGAGTGGGCGTCTACAATGAGGAGGATGGGCTGGCTCTTAACGGCTCTCTGGTGGTTACGTATGATGCTGAAGGGCAAGAGAGGGCCATGACGGAGGTCAAGTCACAGTGCATTGACTACCAGGCCTGTGGAGACGTTGCTGTTGTGGCTAAACCTGTCAAGAAGAAGACATACTATTTACAGGTAGACTATGTGGTATTCTCATCTTCAGTGCAGTGTGTGTGTCTGTATGTCCAGAGTTGAACGTCAGGGCTTAGTGACTCAAAAGTTTGGTTCTAACTAGAAAATGGGTAAAAGTGACATGACATCTAAATACAGTATACATACATTGATGAACTAGTGAATGAATTATAAAATTATTTCAGGGGTTATAAATGAGCATAATTTTTTTTACGCTTTCTGCTGAACTTGCTCAGTCAGTCAGTATCAATAGTGAAAGATATAAAGTGTTACCTAACACTTATAGGGGTCATAAAATTATTATTACAGTATCATTATTATTGTTATATCATTTTCCTCTTCAGATGTTCCCCAAACAGAGGTTTGGCATCAGTGGGTTGGTTCCTTACCACCTCAAGGGTCAGACCTTCTTCTCCTGTGGTGCATTTTACAGTGAAGGAATCTTCCAGAATGTTGCTGCAATAGCTTATGCTCTGAGCAAGATTAACAGCAATGATGTAGGTGTGGGCCTGGGAGCCATATTGTTTGACTACTGTGACAGGATAGAGAGAGCCAGAGAGAGGTTCTTCAGCTTCTTCTCGGGTGAGGCATCAGAGAGTGACGACAACATCCTGCTGGGGCCCAACAGGATAGTGGCGTCCATCACATTTGAAGACGATGCCGCCGAGGCAGTGTCCAACATCCTCTCCTCAAACTATATCCCTCACTTCAGTTCTCCTGTGGGGGGACGGAAACTCTCAGACCGAGAGGACCAGACCATCCTCACCAGTGTGCCCTCCAGAACAGCTGAACTGCGAACCATCTTAAGTATCATGAAATCGTACAAGTGGATGTTCATTAGTGTTATTTACGATAACGATGACAAGGGTAAGTTCCTTATGGAGACTTTCAGAAAGTTTGCCCTGAAGGAAGACATCTGTATTGGGGACTCTCTCGGTGCCCCGAAGCGAGTGTCGGAAGAATACGCCCGGGAGTTGGTGGAGACGCTGGCTGTGTCATGGAAGCCCAGGATTATTGTCTTGTTAATGGATGCTGCTGATAACATTAGAACACTACTGAAGGTCTCTGAGATGCTTGGTGCAGGCGAGAAGTTCACCTTCATTGCTGGAAGTGCCTGGGGAAACAAGCCAAGTGTGACTAAAGACTTGGACAGGATATCTGCTGGAGCTCTTACATTCACAATGGAAACTTATGATCTTCCAGATTTTAGGGCTTATGTTGCGAACTTGACCCTGCAGAGCCATGAACCTTTCCCAGACGAGTGGTTTGAAGAATATTTCCAGAATAAGTTTGAGTGCAGACTGTCGTCGAGTGGAAGAGTGCAACGGCAGTATGTGACAGAGTGTCTGGGGACTGAACGGGTACACGCCGATGATATCGTACAAGATCCCTACGTGTTCCACACCATCCTGAGTATCAATGCCATAGCTCATGGCCTGGACTCGTATATCACTAAACAGTGTGTAGAAGCTGAGACAATAGACGACTGTAATATTGTGCAAGCTGAGCTTTTGTTAGAAATTTTGCAACAGAGTGAATTGACATTAAACAACACGAGCGCCCCAAACTCCTACGACCAGGCTGATGTGTATGGTTATCACATTTGGAATTACAGAAAATTAGGAAGGGAATACGGATATGTAAGTGTTGGGAAATGGGAGAACAGTGTAATACATTTAGAAAAACCAAGCATAGAGTTCAAAATAGGAACCTTTGCACCAGACTCTCACTGTAGTGAAGGAGTATGCCTTGAGGTGTGTTCCTCACAGTCAACAGTCTATGCGGCCATGGCTCTGCCCGAACCTCTCCCAATAGACAGCAACTTTTATAACGTTTATGGTATTGCCACTGGCATACTCAGCCTACTAGGGATTGTTGTTATCTTGATAACAATGGTATACTTCATGATGTCCTTCCCGACAGCAGCAGGAACATCAGTGCTAGGATACTTGATACTCATAGGCTGCCTCATGCTTTATGCTGTAAATTTTGCCTTCATCTTTCAGCCAACAGTTGGCACCTGTGCAGTAAGAAGGTTCCTCATGGGTGTAGCATATGCCATAGTCTTTGCTGCCATGCTGGTCAAAGTCATCCATACCTGGCGAGTTACAACCTACACTCGGGCCAACGGCGACCCAGACACCTTGGGCAAACCTGGTGGACTGTTACTGCTTTCGTTGGCATTAGTGTTAGTACAGATCATCCTCGGGGCAGCCTGGCTCATCCTATATCCACCTGGCATTGACTTGGCTGGATCGACTTGGAGATGTACTCCAACTGAACAATTTGAGGTAGAGTTGGTCATCTCCCTTGTGTACGTGATGGTTCTTATTTCTGCCACCATCATCTTCTGCCTTGAAACTTGGCACGCCGACGAAAACTCAAGAGAGACGAGATGGATACTGTTAGCCTCCCTCGCCACAAGCATCACCTGGTGTGTGTGGACAGTGGTGGCAACGCAGGCGCCCGTGCACTTCAGGGATCCATCCATCGTCATAGGGAACTTGGTGTCTGCCACAGCTGTCATGCTGTTCCTTTATGCCCGTAAAATGTATTTATACAGTCAGCTGAACAGGGACGTGAAGGACCTGGAGATGAGGTCTCACTACACTGCTGCCACCTCCCTCTACAATGCCTCTCTTAATGCTCACACGCAGAAGTTGGCAGAGAACTTGCCGAGGTCTCCAGGTCTGGACATGTCTGCAGGGATGCCTGGGCGACAGTTTGTGGGTAAGTTTTCTTCATTATTAACCTACAATATACACACTTTTCTGGTTTATAATCTTAGCTCTGTCTGTTTGTCCACACCTTCATATAGTGAGTGCCCAGGTCGTGTTGGATAATCAGCATTTTCCCAGCATTGTTTACCAAGAGTCATGACAAAAAAATTGGCAGTGGTGACCGTAACCATCACTGACTCGTTTATTTCTGTTTGACGTTCCAGTATTAATGTTACCAGTTTCTTTATCTTACTAATGCATGGTCACTTTCACTTGATATTGTTCCTTCCACATCAATTGGTATTTTACATAGATCTAAAGTAATCGATTGGCCTATAACTCCACTGTGAAAATATATGAAGTGTTAAACAATTTGTGACTTATCGGTGATCATCAACCTCACTCTCGTAAGTGGTGGCACAATGAGTGCGTTCAAGGAAACTTTTGTGTAAAACTCGGGTACCTGTAGTTCTTCTCGCTTGATATCATGTATCAGTTTTGGTCGGGTGTTGAACACTTCAGTTAATTATTGAGATGTAATGGTATTTATGATGGATAATGAAGGTAATTATACTTCATTAATGAATCTAGCCCTTGATATGAAGAAAAAACCTAACCACTCTTACTTAACGGTGATTTCAAGTGGAACAACCATCTATTATCCATTAAAATGTCTGCTAGGGGTCTTGAACAGGTGATTTAAGACACAAAGTAATCAGACTAAAAGTTGATTTTTTATATATACAGGGTATTTAAGGGCGGTAAATGTGGGTGTTTTTTTCCTTGTTTTGTATTTTCTGTTACAGCTTGCTATGCTTCAGACATTTACCTTAACTCAATATATTACTGGATTTGTTTCCCATTTCTTAAGGTCAGATTGTCCCTATGTAATCTTGGATCCAGATCCTCAAAAGATTCTTACAGTTCTCAGATGTGGGGTGGGGGGAACCCACTCATAACTGGGGAAAATGGATCTAGCTAGGATATGCAGTAATCTCAGTGCAGTTTTGATACCATTAGTTAATTTGAAAAGTCAATCAGGTAAACTTAAGAAATTCAACTTGAGAATTTGTGCTTAGTGTCATATGATTTATTTCCATTTCACTCATATTTTTCTATCTGACTTTTTTATGTATACAATAATCATATTTTCTAAGTTTCATTCTCTCTTTTCTGCACCTTTCCCACATTTTCTTGTTGGGGTGTTTCACATGTGGTTCCTACTGGTATGTCTACCTGCCTGGGGGATCTCCTGTATGGCATCTCTTCATGGGATCTGCTTCATCACTTCCTCTTGTGTGACCTTCAACCACTCTTGGTGTGGTTTCTGCTGATACAGTCGTGGGCAACACTTTACGCCTCCATCACCGTAATGGCCCTATAGTGGGTAGAGTGCTGGGGCCACCACAGCCACACCCATTGGCAATTAATCGAGGAGTGTCGCTGGGGTCTCTGGTGCCTCCAGGGGCCCGGAAGTGAACCAGCAGTGATGGCAGCCCATGGTTGTGTAGGTAACACACTGCATTGTCAAATGCACTTCTGCTGACGTTTCGACACAAATGACGTGCTTATCTCGACTTTTTTTTACACAAAAAAAGGATTTGTGTTGACTTTCTACTGAGAAACACACATTTATGTTGACTTTTCTATAACAAAATGCATGTTATTACTGATTGTTCTAAAACAAAAACAAAAAAAGTTCATTACTTTTCTACCCATATAATCCAACCAGTTTTTGTTAATTTATCTACAGTACAGTATAATAAAAAGCACAGTCTTAATTACTTTTCTACCAAAAGCATGTTTATATTGATTTTTATATAACAAAGGTGTGTATTAACATTAAAGATTGGGACCAAGGTCAACTGGGAGCATGTCCTTATACAGAAGTTAGTTTGGGACCTATTAGAGTTACCCTCTGACTTACAACTAACGAGCAACACGGACCTGATCAGCACATTCTTTATCCCAGACAATTTTAGTATACATTACTACTGTACTTCTCTTACAGCAAGACCATCAGTTCTCAGAGGTCACAAGACCAACACCGAAGCTCAGACTGACTTTTTTATAATATTAAGTTCTGCTGCATATTAGCCAGTCAGTTTCTTTATCACCATTTCACTAGTTGTAACTCTCAGGGCCGTCAACTACTTAAAATTATTCATGTTTACAACTGATTTTTGTATAATACACATTGTAAATTACAATTAACTTCATCAGCTAAGTCTATAAATACCAATCCTGACACACTCACTCGCTCACTCATTGAGAGAACATTTTCCCATGCCACAGGTGATCAGGAGGTGAGTTTCCGTACAGTGACCCTCCCGCCGGAAACGCCACAGAGCCGCTCCTCCCGCCACTCCACCACGCCCTCCAGACGCTCCCTCCGTCTCTCCCTCTCCGATGACCTACCCGAGGACCTCACCTTTGACGTCTTTGAATCCTCGGAGGAGGAGTTCCCTGTTGATGCCCACCGCCTTAGTGATGACAATGAGGAGGTGGAGGGTGCGGTGGGTGGGGAGTCCTCCAGTAGCGGCAGGAATGGCACCTCGTCAGAACGTGATCGACTCCCCTCTATCCGCCGCGTGGGCTCCAGACAGATGCTGGTGTTCCTCACTGATGGTAACACAATAGGTAAGTTTTCTTCTTTACTGATGATAATGTGATGGATGTCCCCCCTTTATAATGCAATTGGTAGGTAATTACAACTTGATAATAACACAGAATTTACTAATAATGGTCACTATAAGACTAAGCACTTTTACTTTGTACAATGTACTGGGTATAACAAAACTTGTGTGTGTACAGCATGTTAGTCAATCAAGGTGCCATTCACGAGTTTTGGAGGGTTGGAGACCACAACCCACCCCTCTCATACATTATCTTTACATCAAAACTAACTTAAAATTCTTCTTTCAGGTGATGTGTCGAGAATATAAAGCACTACTTTCTTTGGGGTAATATAGAAGTACAGTACTGGTATGTATAATTTTGCAATATTTATCGACAAACTGCCTTAAAGTAACTACTCAGTCCACGTGTATGTCATTGTGTCAGGATTTTGAGTGTTCAAGTCTACTTAACTGTGATGCCTTTAACTCTGGTACACCTCACATACAGTAAAGTGTAGGAAACCCTCTTTGGCATGAACTCCTCCTCCTGGATTGTATTGTATGGAATCTTGCATATTCTTATTTTTGTTGAAGAGAGGAAGTCTGTGATCTTTTTAAATACTCCCTTGTTCCTGATCAGTTCATTCTTCATGGGTCTAATGTTAGTACCGTACAGGAGGAAACTGGAGGCGAGTACCCAGAAACAACCTGCCATATTGAGTAGTGTCACACTGGACAACACCCTTCTGGCCTTCTCACATCCGACACTTGTTGGAAATGACAAGTAGGTGTGCACTTGGCTGTCTGAATTTCGTCAGTGAATTATTAATATAAACTTCCTTTGGGACATTAAAAGTTAGCATTTATAACCTCAGCGCAGTAATGGTAACTGAAAGAATCTGGGTTAATAAGTGATCACTAAGTCTTGAACAATTATTGTTAACAGTCTTGTATGACCAGTCCAATTTATCAGTAATATGTCAGAGTTGGTTTTAGAACATTTACAAGGTATCATATTGGCTTGTCATATGTGATATCTATTTTTAAGCCTTTAAGTTGTTCAATGATATTCTATATGTATCAGGGTTTTTCTATAGAATAATAGAGCAGCCACACTTGGACTTTCCCTGACGTTTGAATTTCTGCCCATATTCTTAGGTATTATGGACCTACTTAAAAATCCTGTCATTTTCTTATTTTAAGAAACAGTTCTGTCTTGACAAACTGTGACTGAAGATCATTCACTTGCCACCAGCAGCATCAAGAATAAAATAATAAGCATTCTTTAAACCCCTAACTTTTATCCTCAAAGGAATCTTTCAAGATGGTTAACACTCTTTGAAGAGCACACTGGAAAACCCTGATACAGTACAGTAGTGGATACAAGACAAGTGATAAGCCTAGGGAAGACTCCTGGGTCATAAGATGAATAATAATGAGCATTATTAGATGTATGTGGATAGTGATATGTGTAAAGCCTTATTTTTGTTTTTATGATTACAATAATCAGGTTCAGATTGCATTTCCTTTGAGCATTAATGTTCTGCATATCATTACCTTGTGATTGAGAAGTACTCTACTCTGTGGTCAGGGTCACTTGCCAAAATTTACAATGAACATTATTTTGGGGACTTTTGTTAAAATAAATACGGTAGAGGAGTTTTGAAGCGGTTGAAATGATACAAGTAGACTTTAAAATGTGAGGAAATATTTTCAATGGCTAGCATCGACATTGGAGATTTCAAGCTGAACATTTTTTTGGAGGTCTGATATTTTGTTTGACTTTATTAGTACTAAAATGAAAATATACACCTACAGAGCAGAGTCCTTCCACCAGCATTCAGCAGATATAAAACAAGTGCTGCAGGTGTGTAAATGACATTAAAAAGTGTGTAAATATTGTATAGTTGATGACTTGTTAGATAAAAATATTTGTTTATTCTAAGACTAATTCAAGTCTGTACATATGGAATACTGTGTAAATGATGCATTGGGAGTGACAAATATTGTATGTAAATGTAAATATATCCGAAAATATACTTTTATTTTACACAAGAGTGGGAATAGTTAAACTGGGTATAGCAAACCCCATGAAAAATAATATAAAATAGCAGTTTATCTTCTACTTTAGTAAAATATGACTTTCAGATAAGAAATAAATTTTAATTAATTTAACATAAGATTGAGTTCACCGAGTCAAAGAAACTTGGTACAATGGCATCAAATCCAAAGAGAGATTTAAATTCAATGCAAAATGATGGGAAGGCAAGGTTTTCAATGAACTGAAGGTTATTTTGCACAGTAATCCAGAGCCTTATAATAGCCTTGCACATCTAAGTGGTTACCACCATTCAACATCCACTCACAAGTGACATTGAATGTTTCATCTGTAATCAGACATATCTAAATTGACACACAACTATGGTATTCTCACACACACATTTAAATTGACTTTATCGAGAGGTTGGTTTCAGGAAGTTAGAGAAAATGAACAGCACCTAAGCTAGGATAAACGCGTTTCTTCCAAGAGATAACTCACCAGTTATCCACATGTTTTTTGGGCGTGGAGCATAATATGAATCATCAGGTTTCAAACAGACCAGCCATGCCATTGTGACCACGACAACTGGACCTCTTCAAGTTGAGGTAGGAGTTGAACTGCCCTATGCGGCTTCCAGTCGTTACACGAACAGCTGTACCTCCTCTTTGTAGTTTGTTACCTGATGACATCGTCATAAACACCCTGAGAGCCACCCTGTACCGAATGTTGCTCATAACATAGATGATGGTGTTGGCGATGTACTGTAACCAGTAGATACTGTACAGGATGATACCAGCTTCCTTCCAGCTGCCATCTTGACCCACTATGTTGTAGACACTCACGGGCAAGATACACACTAGATACATCACCACAATGCCCAACAGGCTCCGTGACGCGGCCTTGTACCGGCGCATCAGACCTATCGGCTGGCCTCCCAGACCTCTCCTGTAACACATCCTTATGTCAATATTGTACCATCAGTACAGTAACTAAATCATTAGCCAATAACGTATGATTAGTAGAACTTTAAAATAACTATTACTGTAATGTTAGTGATAAATAAGGTAAAGATGGGGATTGCAAGCAAGTGGGTGATTTATCAACTACTGTACAGTAAAAATATATCTTTACAATTCTTCAGCGAAACAAAACATCACGAATGAAGGTTTTTGATAAAGGCTCATGAGACACTGTTATTCACCAAACATAATGCAATAAACTAATTTTATATTTTGAATGAAATAACTAAATTAGACCTACCATAATAGCGAGACAACAGGATCGTTCAGTTCTAAATTCATCGGACCTCCCCTGAAAGTGGTCCACCATAACCACTAGTGTTATAGCACCACCCCATCTCACATTATACACCACTACCAGCTTGAATGCTTGACAAAACAATTAGAATTACTACTACAATTACACTACTATTATAATCATCATCATAATAATAGCCTTACTTTGACTCGTGACCATCCATGTACTTGGCGAGGAGAGTTTTAGAATGACGGACCCGATAGAGGATGGCTATGTAACACCCTAATATGACTAGGAGCGGCAGCAACACCTCTCCCAGTACCATTACCACCCTCGTCACCCTCCCGATGATCAGGTCACACTTGTACGTCCACTGGTTGAAGCCATACTGACCCTGGGGAGAGTTATTATACCTAATTATCTATCTATCTACTTAGATGTTTGTTTCAGTTTAGTTATCTTCTCGAGCACAAAAACCTTACATGTTTGCCTCGTCTTCAACGCTTACCCACTTGATGACCATTGTTGCTAGTGGTAAGTGGTCGTATCTCCATACATATTCATTGGCACCGAAAATAATGGTCCTAATCTTTTAAATAACCATAAGAAACATAACAAAAAACATGTTTGCACTTTATGATTATTTACTCTACCAAATATTGACCATTATGGTTATTATTATTATTACTGTAACTTAATTATTATCCTTATTATTATTTAGAAAAAAAGTATATAACACTGTGGCTACTGTGATGCTGTATTCATGGTGTGGTCAGGCTTGGGTTGTCACAGAATCGGCGTAGTGTCTGGTATGGGTGTCACAGTATGGACGTGGTGTCAGGCATGGGTGTCACAGTATGGGCGTGGTGTCAGGCATGGGTGTCACAGTGGGTGTAGTGTCAGGCATGGCTATCACAGTATGGGCATGGTGTCAGATGGGTGTAACTGAATGGGCAGGCATGGTAATACTCACAGTAGCTACGAAAGGCACTTGGAATAACACGCCCACCGCCCACAGGCACAAACAGTAGAGACGAGTCAGCTTCACGGAGAAGAGGCCGCCGCCCACACTACGCCCACGCTTGATGTGGTAGAACCTGGCGGCAAATAAACGTGTGTTAATAACATATGTAACAATAGTAAGAGGAATACCTGTTAACAATACAAACAAATCACAAGAATTTAAATATGACAAAAATACTTAAAATATATACAATTCAGGGAAATTTTGTACTAATACTGTCGACAAATAGGAAAAAAATACCTGCCAATAGGGTAATGGGAAAAGTGCTAAATGTTTCAAGTATAAAGACACAACTTGGGATTAACCTGTTATTCGATTGGTTGGTGACAAATTGTAAGGTTGGATATATCCAGTTAACGATTCTAAGATTGTATGGGGGTTGGAGTGTGTGGGTTTGGTGAGGTGTGGTGAGGAGGGGAGGGTCACCTGGCCAGATAAAGCTAAAGAATAAAATAAAGTTAGTAAAGAAAATTAAATGCAGGTCAATACTAACATCAGCTCAAAGAAATAATTTTATAAATAGTTCACGAGTCATACTAGATCGTACTTCAGGTCATAACACAGGTCACGAGTCATACTTGGATGTATGTACCTCTCGATAGCCACCAAACCCAGTGTGTTAAACTCGACGTTGGCGTTGGCAATCCTGATGAACCCAGCAGTGGCACAGAAGGTGTAAGGCAGAGGCTCAGGGCGGAGGTAAGTTACCATGATGATGGGCAACGTGATGGAGCAGTAGAGGAGGTCCACCACGGCCAGTTGTATTAGTAGGATGGTGTCAGCCACCACCACCAAAGGTCGTCCGGGGCGCCTCCTTGACCCCTCTTTTAATAGCACCACGATAGCTCCCAAGTTACACACACCACCAACCAGTGCCACAGCCCCTGCCATACACACACCCAGGATGAGGGCCCACAAGGCAGGGGGCTGCGACTGGTGATAGGAGTGGAGTGTGTGATGATTGTAGTAAGTACTGTTATTGAGGCCACTGATGGTGGTGTTCCATAATGTCATGTTATGGTTGAGGTGGTAGAGACCGTCATCGATGGTGGTGAAGTTCCAGGGCAGCATGTCGTCGGGGTATGGGCTTTCCAGGAGGTGCTCACAGCTGACCACACCGCTGCATGTCAGCTGCGGGTGGAGGCACAGCTGTACAATCGCCACACTGCTGCAAGTGAATAATTAATTACGACATGATAAACTTGTGTGTGTGTGTAATGTTTTACTGCAAAAGAATCTCTTAACTCCTTAACCTCATATAAATTCATCTTTAACAGTGATTCTAAAATCAGAGTTGTAAAAAGTACCAGACTTTGTTACTTAACTAAAAGTATTGTTACATTGGCAAAATGTTACTCAAGTAGAAGTAAAAATGTATCTTTCACAAGTACTGAAAGTAAAAAGTAACAAAATTATTAATTCTCAAATATTAAAATAAATCCACAGTACATTACAGTATTTGCAAATCTTCCATTAAGATTAATCAATAACCGATTCGAAACTATGACTGTCCAACCAATCAGGATCTTTTAGGCCTAAATATAAGCCCAGCAAGACCTTCTGAAAGAGAATACGTTCAGTCACTGTTCTCCCTACAATCCATCGCAGGAATAGTGAACGGGCTGAAAATATATCCATCCAACACCGAGAACTTTCTTCCTTATCCACAAGTATCGTCGACATGGACTTATGGTCCGCAGACATAATGTCGTCTCTACTCGCATTAGGTGAGGATACAGACCTAACTGGCAGGTATCTGAGGCAGGGGATGACCCACAATTTTGACGTCCCACTGTCAAGGACCTCCTACCTCAGGGAGTCACCACCTACTTAATCATAATAAATTAGGTTTAGTTCTTGTACACTATCCACACTTTGGTGGGTGCTATCTCCCATTGTCCTTAAATCATATCAATATTGTCTCCATATCACAGATGTAATAAATTAATTAAATAATAAATAATAGGGCCAGCAAGACTTAACAGATGTTCACAAGCAGCAGATGCAGGTAGTGAGGTGTTAAACTTGAGAGATGTCACATTATGTTGGGAAATATCATCTCCTGGGCATGCCAAGTAGCTATCAAGCTCCTTCAGTTGGAGGAGTTTGTGGATAATTGTTACCTCCATAGTGACTGAGTCTGACTAAGACTCACCGTGAACTGCCCCTCTAACTGGGATGTGGCTGTCGTGACTTCATGTTTCGATTCTAATTGATGCATGACTGAATTTTTTTTGCACCACGGAACATCTGGTGGGTGCTGAGGGCAGTGGTACTTAGTTATTTAAGGAAAGGTGGGGAGAAGAGAGTGGATTCGATAACGAAGGGGTGTTAAGAGGATAGGCTAGGTGAGATGGGTGGTCAAGGTGCTAATGGACACAAGAAGACCAAAGGAAAAGTCCGTTGTCATGGCCACTGCCACCTGACCTCACCTCACGAGACCTCTAGGTATGTGACTGCGTAGTGTCTCCCCGTGGTCTGGAGGGGGGGGGCATCCATCCCCTACCTCTTAATATAACTTTGCTCAACAATAAAAACTCCTTACACGATCTGAATGTTTAGTTTATTAAATCAATTTAATAATACGATTACTAAACAATATTTCTTATAGCAAAAAAAAAAAAACATGTGGCGGAAGGTTGAAAAATCTACAATGGAATTACTTTAAATCACGTGTTGAGAGCTTCAATAGAGCAGCTTGTACTGTAGTGTTGGGTGATAAGAGGCTGTTCTGAGACTAGGGCATCAAACCTCTAGAAACTTCCTCTCATAATAAATATTGCTTAGTTATCCTGTATAAACAAGGAACACTAAACAAAGAACTCATTCACGAGAAGAAAGTTAAATATTGCTAACTTTAATATAGGTTAAGTGGACAAGCAGTCAAAACAGAGATGCTAAAATATACTGTATGTATGTGTGTTAAGGACGATGACTACTGTTATACCCACACAATCGGACCTGGATCACATGAAGATTAGTCGTCCAAGCTTAATTTCACCTTAATCACCTCTAGGTAGCATTAAAGCGTTCAATTAATCATCACGTGAAATAAACTAGAGAGACTAAATCTTCAAGTAATCCTCAGACAAAAATTACATCACTACGACACTGCACCTTCATGGACGGTGAGGCGCTATCTGAGATTTAGCAGCTGGTGACCCTAAAGCCATCGATGATCGTGGGAGATATTAACATTGTTATCTCACAGTTCGAGGCTCGTGTACACTGAAAAAAAAAAGACATAACTTAGCCAATATTGTTACGAGGTTATGGCATTAGTTATTAATTCAAGCGTAAATATGATAGACAGAAAGGGTGACAGACAGACCGAAGGAAAGGGAGACGGACTTTACTGAATACACATCAAACACTAACCCATCACCTATGACACACATCCTAGCCATACTGGGAAGGAGGGGGGTGCAACTAGCCAGAGAATCACCCTGTACAGTATATATAACATCAACACCCTCCATACTAACCTACAATGAGATACGAGGCTGGGGCAGGAAAGAGGGTTCGTTGTCTCACTTATCACCTTGTTGCTGGTGTATATCCTGCCCAGCATGTTATTAGTTATGTTATGTTATGTTAATCGTTATCATGTCAGTGACAGCTACACTTCATAACTAGCTGCTGTTCTTGCTGTGGACATTTCACGATACTACTCTTCCCTCCACCTCACTTCCGCTGGTGGACTTCAAGAGAACGCATTACAAAGGTGTTCAACTTGGGGGTTCAAATGATTGCACAAAGCTGTTATTTGAACCCATGAGTGCTGCTAGTGGTTCAAAAGACACCACAAGGTGTCAAGAGAATCAGAGTTGCTAGTCTATACACCAGTGGTTCAAAAGATAGCATGAAGCTGTTATTTGAACCTCATCAGGGGTTGAAAAAGATAGCACAAAGCTGTTATTTGAACCTCATCAGGGGTTGAAAAAGATAGCACAAAGCTGTTATTTGAACCCTTAAAGTGTTTTGTATACGCTGGGTGAGGGAAGGGTTAATGTGGGAACAATACCTGTGTGTGTGTGAATGCTATGAACACTGAACACAGTGCCTTTAAAGCGACACACACACACCAGTAAATACTGTCTGTGTGACACACACACAGACAGACACCAGTGAAGGCTACGAACACACTGTTACGACCGTGTCGTATTTTTCTATTTTTTTTTATATATAACATGCTTCCATGTTCCATATTATTCCTGTAATGATGTGTTGTATTTACTATTATATAATCTAGTCACCTTACCCTGTGCTGTTAAGGTTTTAACTGTTATTATTTGTCAAACCCATTTTGTATTGTAACCAGTATTCTTTGTTCTCTAACGACCATCTGCATCGTTAAACGACCCACCGGCGGGTCGCGTAGCGGGAACCGACCTTATATATAGGACCCACCAACTGACGGTGTTAGTTCAGTCCTCTTGTCATACAGTTCACATCCTTTGAGTAACACTCGTCACCTGTTACTTATACTTAATTTAAGTGTGTTGTTCCTGTCGCCACCAATGTGGTGTATCTATGTGAGTACCTATTTATGTCTCTATTTACAGTATGTCCATCAGTATTTGCTTAGTTACATTTAAGTAATTCAGTGTTGTTTCACGTTAGTTAGTTACAGTGTTAGTGTTTAGATGTTTATGCACTGTTAACGTAATCCAATGCTTTATTTTTATTCTTTTGTTGTTTCGATGTTTAGTATCATTTGTGTTTTAAAAGTTTCGATGGTGAATCAATTTGTTGTGACGGCCAAGGAGGCTCTTTTTTGTGTTAATATTTAATTAATTAAATTCTTAAAGGTTTACTTTATTTATTTATATTCCCTTTTAATTTACTTCACTTTTTTGTTTGGTTACGCCTAGAACCTGGATATTTAAGTAAATTAAGAGACGGCGTAACACCTATGGCGACAAACAGACACCAGTGAATGCTACGAACACAGTCTCTGACGAAGGGAACAAAGTTAAAGAGGTCCATTACGGAGTGTTAGTGGGGTGTCCTTGGCCACTGACAGGTAAGTAGTGGCAGGAGGTAATGGTGGGGGTGATGGACGGAAGGACTAAAATGTTCCCCTAAGTGACTCAGCATACAGTAATCTCTCGTGTAAACATTAACCTTCCTTCTGACACATAGCAGAGGGGGGACGACTCAACTCAACCACGCAAGACTAACCCACTTTAACCCAACCCACTCTAATCTGTCCAACCCACCCTAACCTAGCCAACTCAACCTAACCTAACCAAATACATACATCAAAACACTCATGACTCTTACGTTGTTGTATGTGCGTTGATGATAGACTCTTAGGTACCAGCGATAGGTGGACTAATCACGTTGTCAGGCGAGGTCAACGTCGTTAGTCTCTTGAGATGACCTGATCACATGACATGGCAGCCACACTCACGAAGACGTAAACAAGTTCTTCACTGTAAATAATAATAATTTCTACACTGTAAATAATAACAAGTTCTTCACTGTAAATAATAAGTTTTAGGTAAAATTATATATATACAGTATATGTATATTTTTCCTAAACACTAAGTTCTTGATTATCCAAACTTTCAGGATCTATACTTTCTTCTGTATAAAAAAATAATAATTTTCCAAAACTTTCTAAAATAATATATACTTTTTCAACACCATCCAAGTTTTTAGAAGAAATAAATTTAACTTCCATGCACAAAAAAAAATAATTATTTGCTAGAACACAAATTTATCTTGCGTAAATTATAAACACGAGAGTTCTTGATTTATATTGGGTGATGAGCGGAGAGCGACCACACCCTCTCCTTACCACACGTAATGCCACACTGGGGCCTGGAGGGGTAGCCAGTCGCCTCCCTCTCTTGGCCTTATAAATGAGGAGGGTGGGGGGGAGAGGTGGGGAAATATGGAGTGGCGAACGTGTGACTTGGGAAGATAGATAGATAGATAGATATAGATAATCTGATGAATAAACAGCTAGACAGTAACTAGGTAAAAATTAAATATATAAAGAGCACGATAGTTAGTCCAAGTAATTAGATACAGACAGATAAGTTGGCAGATAACGTGATTACTCTCGAAGGAAATTTAGAGATTGGCTTAAAACTCGACAGGACCATTATCACGAGTCACAATGCCATTATTTAACCAAAACACTAATGCATGGACGTTCGAGGACAAATCGGGTGTTGAAAACCCCCCAACAGAGCGGTCCCTTCAACACTTAACCACTTATTACACTGGCTTGACTCTCTCACTGATGCTGTCCCAAAATATATATATTTCTACAATAATCTACGCTGAATTTACGAAGGTTAGTTAATTGTGATCTTGAAGTGAAATACTGAATTAAAACTTGTCGTTAAACTTATGCCTCGACTGTCACTGAAGTTGATCTCTCACTGACTTCTATCTTAATTGTAAAATATATCCTAATTCTATGGTTAAATTGGGTTACTTTATTAGATGTTTAAGATTACCTGAAAATTTACCCCCTCTAGCTAATTACACCTGGGTATTAACCACCATAACACTAACCTGACCTAACTAACTTAATCTCAACCTAATTTAAGGTGGTATACATTCATCCCTATAGGTTACTGTTTTACTAATTTAAATACACCTCCTTAACTCGGCTTATAACAGCAGTCATTTGTTGTCACCTGCCCATAGGTAAACATTCATCATTAGTCTAATCTCTAGCCAAAAATATTACAGGTGAGGCTACCAATATCAGAGTATTATACACACTATGCATCTTATATCCTCCCCATACACCCCACGCACCTTATACACTCATCAACGCACTTCACACACCTTCCTTTTACACCTCACTCACCTACCCAACCACTTAATACACCCACAACCGTGTGTACATTAATGTGTACAAGGGTAAACCTACACAAATAAATTCCAGTGTATTATAACTCGCACATACATGCATCCCTCCACTCCATCAAGTATAAGTTCATGTACACAAGTGAAACACACACACACACAGAGGGTCTTCTACTCCTCCCTCTGTTATCTTGTACACACAGAGTGGCGTAGGTAAACACATCATAATAGGAACAGCACTCGAGCAATGTACCAACTCGCGTCTTTGGATCACTAGAAGATTAGGCACCAGTTTATTCCATTTAAACACCTCAGATTTTCCCCGAGTGGGTTAGGTTAGTGTTGGGTTTGGTTCGTTTACACCCGAGGTAGATACTCGCACAACAATAGATGTACACAATACCACACCTATACAGCCTACCAACCTAAACCTTTATATTTCTTAACCTGGCAAAACATACCTGCCGCTGTATGTGAACTGTCACGTTTTAGCGACTCCTGAAGATGACGTAACCCCCATGACCTAGAAGTGGAAGGGACAGACAGACAGACGGGTGGTGGACAGAGGAGGGATGGATTCAACACAGCAGAACCTTCTTGGTCCCCGTCAACAAGCGCCATCTGTAATAAGTTGCACTTAGTTCCGCTGAAAATTGAAGAACGAATTTGTATAATACAGTTATGATTTACACAAAATTTGATTACAGACAGACAGACAGACACACTCCAATTATTGCTATATCCTCCCTCATTACCACGATGATAAGAACTCTTTTAAAAGTGTTTTTTCAGTGCAATTTATGACTATGTTTATGATTGATTTAGGTAGACATTAAAACAACCTCTTGAAGCCAGATTCTGTTTGAAGGCGCACATTCTGGATACTTTAGTTATTACGTCACGTCACGCCCTAAAGAAAATTATGTTTCCCGGTTGTCCACTGTTGACTCTCCGGGCCATAGTTAACACGCCATTAAAGAGTAAATATTGTCTGTCACGCCGCGTCTATAGGAGAGATTATTTTATAATGTCTGATGGTGAGGCTAAAATAATGCAGTCAACACCAAGGTGAATAAAAAAAATAAACTGATAAAATACACAAATGAATACTATCTAGTCGATACTCCTAATAAGTTTTACTTCAAGTCTACGGCGTTGTTATATCCGTAAATATGGTTCATTCCGCTATCCCAGGTGTTCACTACAAACCATTCCCGATTATACGCATCCACTATTGAGCCATTCCGGTTTAATGTTGACGAAGAACTTGACCTTCTCGGTACGTAATTTAATCTACTCACAGCCTAGTCCTGTGTTTGTAAGCAACTCGAACTTTACGCTGCCATAAGTCACCTCCCAGAACGATCCAATCTCACAAATCCTTCCTAATCCTCCCCGAATTCCACTTTTTTTTTTTTAGTTTTTCGTTCGCTGATATCCAATCTCTTATAAGGTGATTGGTTAAATGGGGTCCAGTTCCATTAGGTCCCTAGCCTAACCCACTGTCCTGGCCAGTTACAACCCGCAGAGACGGTCCTCCATCCCAATTGGTCTTCTCCTCTACACCAATTCATCGCCAAACCTTTCCTTTGATGGCCAATATGACACCTTATGAGTGCCTACTTGTCTCTATCATACAGTGATTGAGTAACGAGGATGAACTTTAATATAACAGATGGGTGTTATGTTGTGCACTTATAATCTATTTCAAGAACCTAAATATATAAATATGACGCACAACAATAAACACTCCTATCTACTTGGGAGAAATAATAAGGATTTAAATCTCTCACCACTACAGATAACCAAGAAATAAAAGAAAAACAAACCTTGCCAACTCCCACCACCAGACACCTCGACGAGTGGAGAGCGACTTTTGGTTGGCTCGGGTAGTCAAATAAGCAGTCCTAACTAAACTAATACGGACATTTAAAAATACAGGGTACCAAAATTGCATGAATAAATTATATAAATATATTATAATAGGTATTTAAAGCAAGACTGAAGGGTAAATTATTAAAAAAAAATGGTACAATACTAGATGTACAGATTCTCAGCTGAACCCCGTCTTGATGAAACTCCCGATCAAGACCATTCCCTGCGACCCGCTGAGACTAAAGATTATATATATTACGATTATTTCCCCCAGCGTCTACCTCAGAATACTACATAATTATGGCAATTTAATAAACAAACAAAGGACAGTGACTATGATTCATAAAAGGATTAACATAATTATTTTATATGACAGTTGAAATTAAAACACTACAGGAGATAACCAACTTGAAAACTAACAGTAAAACCCTATGGAAGTTAATTATGAAATAGGGAATAATCATAAACCCTTGACACCCAAATAAACCATGATGATTTGGAACGTAATCCTGTTAAGTTCCAAATGAACCCCAATCTGTTAGGTTAGGTTAAACTATAGGGACTAGCAGGCTCGAAACATATTAGTCCAGTTCATAAATTTCTTTTAAAACGGCCACTCGTTATATATTTTGGACTACCTTCATGACGGCAGGATATATGAAATTTCTAGCCGTCATGTGACCGGAGATATTATATTATGAGGGTAGCTGAACTTGCTTTAGTTTAGACGATCATTGAAATGGTGAATATTTGAGAAACGAGATTGGCGTTTCCATTCACACCTACATCACATATATATATATATTTTATAGTACCGTGATAGGTTAGGTTAAGCTAGGTTAGGTTATGTTAGATCAAGATAACGTTCAGTAAGGTTAAGCTAGGTTATGTAAGGTAAAGTTACATTAGGGTAGAGTAGGTCAGGTCACGTAACATTAGACCTAATAACCCTTTAGGCTTTAGGGAACTAGGTCTATTAAACCGGTGAGTGGCCATAATGATAAGGGCGGGATAGTATAGGAGATAATCACGTTAATGAGTGTGTGTGTTGACTCGGGGCGGTGGTTAGGGTGTGAGCCTTGTTGACTCCTGGTGCTGTGTATATTGCGTTAGGTTAATTTATACCACCACAATTACTACTACCACTACTACCACTATTACTACTACCACCACCACCATCCATCCATCAACACCACCACCAGTTTCCATCTTTTATTTATCATCGTTCTCTATCCATTCCCCTCTCCTTTCCTCTCACATCCAATTGCTCCTCTCTCTCTCTTCCTCCATCCATCCCCTCCTCCCACTCATATCCTGTGCACTTCCTTCTCCATACTTCAGCTAACACACAGACCAGCCAGCCAACATTCCTCCCAACAGCCAACAACATCAAGTCTCTAATTTCCTTTTCTTGTGATATATTCCTTAAGTTTGCCCTTCTCTTTGTCCGTTTTTTATGAAGTAAAATAACTACTGCTGCTTCCGTTTTCTATCTCAGTAGCTAGACGTAACCCAAGCCAGCGTTAGTTTGTTTACTGTAGAAAGATTAAAAGTGAATCACCCCTTTCCTGTTTTCTTTTTGATCAAGGTTGAATTATCAGTCTTCTCATCGTTTTCTTGGATAGGGATTAGAGTAACCAATTCTCACTCTATTTTCTTTCGTTCTGGTAAAGTAACCGATATTTCTTGTCATTCTCATTAGCTTCCAACCAGCTCTAAAAACATATGAGAAAACTGTCTAAAGAGCTGCACTCTCTGGCGTATGATTCTACTACAAACCTATGGGGATAAGACTGGGTCCTTCTGCAGGCTACAGCCGGAGGAACATTTGTCTTGAGCATCTTTCACAAGCTTGGGGGGAAACACAAGCACTGTTGATATAGTTTGGGCTGACACAAAGGGAGAAGCAATGTATTGATGACGACAACACGAGACAGACAGACCCATTCCTTATATCTAATATCAGGTAAAACAGAAAAACGACATAACATAATAGGGATTTTATTGTCAAAGTTTAGGTTAGTATTTATAGATACGTTAGATCACCTGGACAATAACACAAGCGATCATATGCAAATTATATAAATCTGGAAGTGGTTTTTGTTCATTTAAATTTAATATTATTTTTGCTCTTAATATACTTTATATCTCACCTTAGTCCTTATTTATACTACAATAACTTTTCACGGCTTCCAATGTATACCAGAATTATAAAAAAAAATCAAAATCTCAAAGAGGGTTAACCTAACCTAACGAATATAAAGTTTACGATGAATAAAAAAAACCACAATACGTCTGTACATAAATATATACTACACACAAACGCATCTTCCCTTCATTCATTGTCAGTCACGTATTCCCGAGTCCTACCCAAACACAACACTGAACGCTATTGCTATCCACTTATCAACACACATACCAAGTTCGATAAATACCTAACCTCTTCTACTTACAGAACATATATCTCTTAGGAGTATAGAAAACGATAAGGTAAAAAATTGAAGATACTACGAGTTATGTAGTAAGATAAATTAATATGTAATGATGAAAAATTAGATAAACCCAATACTGCTGCTAAGAGGGAGAGAGAGAGATTGATTGACATGGAAATTGTAAAACGAATGAGTTAGAAAAAGTGAAAAATTACTTCGCTAATCTTAAAAGACTTTGTGATGATTTAGTTTATTTTATACTGGTTTACTATGAAATAAGACTTACCTGTATTCCAGTGCTTTATATGACATACAAGACTAGGTTTTTTAAGTTTCAATCAACCGTTTTTTTTCTTTTTCAAAACCTTTTCACTATTTCTAAAAAGAACAAAAATAGTTCTTGTTATGTTCACCATCAAACGTTTCATAGTTTTTCAGTCACTTTCACTCATTTCTTACTTTATCTTGTCCATTTTCTTCAATGTTCAGTACTGTAATTCCACTTTGTCCACATTTTATTTAATTTTGTCCACATTCACTGTGATTCCACTTCCATTTTGTCCCACCAAAGCGTTTCACTCAGGTTTTGGACCCGTTGAATCCATTACAGTATAGATCCATTTGCGTCTTGAATAGTACAGTACCAGCAATAGTCTCCTTCACCCACGGTATGTCCAGGGCCGGCGCCACGCCAGGGTATTCAACGGCCGAGACAAAATGTTTATTTGTGCGCCACAGTACCGCACACCACGACTATTTTCCCCACTGTCCTATAATCCCCAAAAGTAAAATTATAACGCAATATTTTCTCAGCAATATATTTATTCATAACAAATTGGTAAATATGCGTTTTCAACCAATATGGCCATTGAGTTGAGGAATGTGTTTTTCCCAGTGGTTTAGACAATTTTAAAACACTTCTTCTATGACGTTTCCCTCGCAAATGACATAAATATACCAGGGGATCCATGGGGGCGGAGGTCATGTGCGAGGGAAGCGTCATAGAAGAAAAGTGTTTTAAAATTATCTTTCTTCCATCTACTGTACCTACCACTTACTTACACTGTGTTAAGCATAGTTACAGTTTCATCAAATATAACGTACAGTACTTCTGCTTTTATTCAGGACATGTTCCCTTAAGTTACACATCATTCATCTCGTGTATTCCTTGCACTTGTCGTTTATAAACAATTTCCATTCACCTTTAGTCTATATTGAATCTTACAAGTTCCAACTTTTGCCGAGTCGCTCACTTCCTTATCCTCATAGCTATGAGCGCCAAAACCAGGTGTAACAGTAACCAGCCGAGGGTGATGAGGTAGCCCATGTAGACGGTTGGGTAGGTGATGTCCCAACCCTTGTACAGTATGGCCCGGATGGCCTCACACGCGTACGTCTGTGGCAGCGCGTATGACACGTACCTGAGACACGGACGGGAGTGTGAGAGGTTGTAGATCACACAACAGGGGTGGGATACATAAGACCCGGCCCCAATGGTTAGGTTAGGACCAATTAAAACTGGGAGCTCATAACCAACACTAATATCTCATATAATCACCATCCTACCACCACAACACCATCACCTCCACAACACCATACCCACACTACACTGTTTATCAGCCTACCTTCACTATACACTACCTACACCCACCATCACTACCTTACCACCCACCTGAGAGCGACGGGGATGCCCTGGACAGGCCAGACTATCCCGGACAGTAGCAGCAGGGGGTAGAAGATGCCCAGCGCCATCATAATCGCCGTGTTCTCGTCGTTGGAGATGGCTGACGTCATCAACCCTGCAACACCGAAGGTCAAATTAGCGAATGCAGGTCATTATGGGTACCCAACCTATTTGACCTGACTTATTAGGAAATGAGACCTCTGGAAAATGGGGTCTATTAGAACTAGGGCCCATTAGGACTGATTCTCATACTAATCTAACTTTTATGATTAGGGTCCATTAAGACTGGGGTCCATTAAGATAAGGGACCATTAAGACTGGGGTCCATTAAGATAAGGGACCATTAAAACTGGGGTCCATTAAGATAAGGGACCATTAAAACTGGGGTCCATTAAGATAAGGGTCCATTAAGACTGGGGTCCATTAAGATAAGGGTCTATTAAGACTGGGGTCCATTAAGATAAGGGACCATTAAGACTGGGGTCCATTAAGATAAGGGACTTGGGTCTATAACCAGCAACAGTCACCATTACCATTTTGAGTAATTAATTTTATAATACACAAATTAATTCAAGTTATTAATTATGGTCCAGCTGAAGGTAATTTATTATATAACTATTGCATAATTAATTTTTTTTTGTGATTGAGTGATTTTGTTAATTAGCTGCGTGACCTTACATAACCTAACTTAACCTCATCAGGCTATTTTTTTTTGGTATATTGACCTGTATTTTTATCCACTTCTCACCGATGAAGACTTAAACGTTTTCATTCAATAGTCAGTTCATTCATTTATTGCACAACCGAATTAAATGCAACTTGACCTAACATGACCTAACTTAACCCAACATCGCTACAAATTAATCTTTATTCGGATCACCTGAAAAATCTCCATCCTAGCTTATTTAACCACCCTAACCTAACCTAACCAACCTAACTTAACCTCATCCCGTTAAATAGTATCAGAGTGGTTAAAGTGGGGGAGGGGTGATGATTCTAGCAATATTTTTCATTATTCAGCATTACCAGTAAACAATATTGATTCTTTAGTTATATTCAACACTAGTTCTTTTAGTATATATTTCTCATTCTTTTGGTTATATTCAACATTAGTTCCATTCTTTTAGTATATATTTCTCATTCTTTTAGTTATATTCAACATTAGTTCCATTCTTTAGTATAGTATATATTCTTTTAGTTCTTTTAGTTATATTCAACATTAGTTCCATTCTTTTAGTATATATTTCTCATTCTTTTAGTTATATTCAACATTAGTTCTTTTAGTATATATATCTCATTCTTTTAGTTATATTCAACATTAGTTCTTTTAGTATATATATCTCATTCTTTTAGTTATATTCAACATTAGTTCTTTTAGTATATATATCTCATTCTTTTAGTTATATTCAACATTAGTTCTTTTTGCATATATTTCTCATTCTTTTAGTTATATTCAACATTAGTTCTTTTAGTATATATATCTCATTCTTTTAGTTATATTCAACATTAGTTCTTTTAGTATATATATCTCATTCTTTTAGTTATATTCAACATTAGTTCTTTTAGTATATATATCTCATTCTTTTAGTTATATTCAACATTAGTTCTTTTAGTATATATATCTCATTCTTTTAGTTATATTCAACATTAGTTCCATTCTTTTAGTATATATTTCTCATTCTTTTAGTTAGTTGAGTGATTTTATATGTACTACTCATTACTGTATATTTATTTGTCATTATTTACTAACACGTTAATCATTTACACTCACCGAAAGTCATGCCACAGAAGCCCTGGAGAATGGACAGCAGGACCACCCACAACATGTTCCCCTCACACGGCAACTTGAACACGGGGAACATGAACACCAGGATGAGGGCGATTTGTACCAACATCACCAGCATCTGTGTAGCCAAGTGAGCCGTCATCACCTCGCTCGACTGTACACCTGTGGAGGATAATGTACGAGTAACAGGTTGAATTGAGAGCCTTGTGTATATGCATTTACTGTAAGGGTAATTTTTCTACATATACTGCCTTAAGGTGTGTAGACTGAGCAATTTAAAACAACTGGTATAGGATAACAGTCACATCGTCTCACACCTGTAATACAAGTGTTTCCTGTAGATAAACACGTGTCACTGAAAGCAAAATGATCGCCGCCCCGTGAGCCATCCAATGTAAACATCCGAGGTTAAACTGTTTATTAGAAGGACTGTGATTGGTCTATATCTCCCTGTGGTATATTTACGTCGCGCTGATTAGTCTTTTCGTCACGGGTTAACTGTTCTTCTACCGCCTTTTGTTTTATCACACGCTTAAAAGTCTTGCTCACTCTTATTGACGTTACGTGTATTTTAGCTCTACAGTTTCATTAAAAAAAATAATAATTTAATAAGAGACAATAAGAGCCAAGACGGAAAAAATGGCGCTGTTTTAAATATTTATGAAAGTAATCTATTTCTAACCATTTCTTAGGAGCGTTTGGCAAGGCATACAGCCTGACTGACAGATAAACAGACAGACAGACGTAACTAACTGTATATGATCAATGGCTTAAATTGTTGAATAAACTGACACAAACTCATTTCCCTGCGGCTATGGTAGTTCAATTGGAGGCCTCACACACACACACACACACACACACACATACACACACACACACCTAATAGACTTAAAAACACACTCACCAGACACCCAGGAACGGTCGAGAAGTCCTTCCTTACGCTCGATGATGAAGGATAGAGCCGTCAACCCCACAGCCATGAAGTAGGTGATGCTGTGTTGTGGTGAAGCAAAACAAAATATCAGTCTATCACAGATTTACGTAAATTAAAAAAAAAAAAATAGTCTCCAATGCCCTACATATATCTTCTATTAACTGATGCTATTACTAGTTATGGGTTACAGAAAACTCAGTGATTATGAACGGAAAAAAATATGATATTAAAAAAATTCTTCATTAACAAGTTGAAAAAAAAAATTAACCTCATCATTATTTTTATTATTACTATTTATTAACTCACGTGAGAATGACACCAGGAGCCATGAACTCTGTGAAGGAAGCACCTGATGTCCCATAAACTGGCTCGTGGAACTGGGAAAGACACAGAGAGAGAGAGCCAGTTCAACACTACTTAGGGGATATAGAGGGAATGTCTCAGTCAGCTTAGTGGCATGACTATGATAAATTGAACCCAAAACAAGAGTATATACTTATAATGAGAGAGAGAGAGAGAGAGAGAGAGAGAGTACCCATCACCACTCACCTTCAAAGGGAAAGTCAACTTGCTAGTATCTATAGTGATATTCAACAGGTCATCAGAGAACTGTATCATATCAACCAAGAATCTGTCCATGGTCCTGAGCAGCTCGGCTGCCAGAGTGGCAGAAATCTCAGAGTCTGTTAGGAATGAAATATAGATGACATAACTTTAGATGACATAACTATAGATGACATAACTGGTGAAACTAAACAAACTATAGATGTCATAATCAAAGAAAGTAAACAAAATATAGATAACATAATCTGTAAAAGTAAACAAACTATAGATAACATAATCAGTAAAAGTAAACAAACTATAGATACCATAAAACTAAACAAATTATCACGACGAATTATAGATGACATAAGTAGTGTAAATGCTCAACTTCTTAATGTAATTCTATACGTGTAATAATTATATAAAATCAGTGTCAACAAATTATGACGGAATCCAGGTAATTAACGAAATACAGTATTAAAATAAATTAGTGAATATATACTGTAATTTATCAAGGTAAACGAAATAGGTTTACTAAATTGTATTGAATAACAGCCTAGGTTTGAGTTAGGTTGACTGGGTTGGGTTTAGGTCAGGTTGGACTGGATTGGGGGTTAGGAAAATAATGATATTGCTCTGGGGCTTGTAAAAGGGACAGACAGACAGAGACAGACACCCAACTCACTAGTAGTATCCATGTAAATATTGATCTTGCTCTGGGCCTTATCTTCGGGGTGGGCGTCATCAGTGAGGTAAAAGGCGAGGAATGCTTTAGTGAAGGTCTCGTTAAAGAAGATGAGTCCCCAGGCGTCCCCGTTCTCCACCGCCCTCAGTCCTGCGTCAAACTCTGAGTAGAATTTCTGTTGGAAGGGTGTGAGTGGGTTACCAGTTGTGTACCGTGGTTGTAAATCACTAAATCATTACTATACAGCGTAAGTATCCGCCCATAAGTTTGTAAGAGCTAGTTTCATCACCAACAGTGTGTGTGAGTATGTGTTTGTATACATGTGCGTATGTATAACTGTACAGTATTTATACTTCAATATAATATACAGTATATATCAATCCTCACCTTGTCTATCGTTCTATCGTTCAGGTCGTTGACGTAGATGGAGGATAAGTTGAAGAGCTGGGGTATGTGTGCCATGTCGGGGTACCCATGGTCGTAGTTGACGATGGCCATGGGCAGATTGTAGGGTGTACCTCCTACAGTCAGGCAAAACAGTACTGTCTGTACCGGCGGCATCAGGAACGAGAACAGCAGGAACCTGTAGTGTAGAGGATGGAACAGCAGATGGTTATGATACAGCGAGTACGTGTATTGAGGAACAGCAAATAACAAATATGAGGAGGTACAGCAGATGGTCATGCAGCAAGTTGAGAGCACCGCAAAGAAACTATGGGTACGGTCCTACGGCAAGTATAATCAACAGCAGAGAGAGAGAGAGAGACTCACCCTATGTTCCGCCACAGTCGTATAAAGTTCTTCATCAACAGAGCACCGAAGCGGTAAGGAGAGAAGATCCTCTCGTATTTCGACGTCTGGACCCAGGGAGACTGTGTGTGTGTGTGTGAACCGGAGGGTAAGATGATGTACACGACCAACAAACACCACAAACACACACATTCACTAGTACACAGACACACACACCACATGTGCATACTTTCAGCTATGTACACACACAATCATATTCTCAAAATACATACACACACACATTCACAAATACACACATTGAAAGACACACATACATACATACAAACACCTATTTTCCCTTTCACATATATAAACAGAGAAGCAATCTCTATGTATTAAACACAATTAACAAAATATGCAAAGTACTCAAACGTAGTTGACCTACCATTAAGATGGCTTTCTCGTCAGAGTCCCTCAAGGTGATCTGACCTGTGGCGGAGTTGATCTCCTTCTTGAGGTTAGAGGTCACGCCCCGGGCAGTTGGTAACGAGGTGGTGATAGTAGTGGTGGTGGGAGTTGTGACCTTGTGTGGTGGAGAGCCATCTACGTCATCGAAGCCATTATTATGCTAAGGAGGGAAGGATGGATGACACATGTAATGGTGCCTTCTTTGTCTCTCTCTATCTCTGTTTTTCTCTACTGTATTTCATGCTTCTATTTTTCATCCTATATACTACTTTACTCTTTCGATCTCAAACTTCCTTTACTCTCACATTCGCTAAACTATTCTCTCTCTCTCTCTCATTATCAAACAACTGACCCTCACCTTACGGTTTTATGTCACGACCCCAGGATGTTTACTGGCCAGACATAACAAAATTCCCTGACTTTTCCAGGTTTTCCAGGCCAGTAGACACCCTGTAATCTAAATCACCGACCTTAACCTAACCTAACCTGGTACTGACCTTGCCCTGGCGGTTTTCTTGGGCACCGTCTTCGAGGCACAGCTTGAGGAAGATATCCTCCAGGGAAGGAATACCGAAGTGGTGGATTAAACTGGAGGGGGACGTCTCAGCCAGCAGCCGACCTCCTCTCATAAGGCCAACCTGTGGAGGAGGAGGAGAGGGAGGCGGAGGGATAAGTACTGGTGGTTGGTGGTGGTGGCAATGGTGGTTGATGGTGGTGGTACTATTGGTGATGGTGTAAGTGGAAGTAGTGGTGATGGGAGGGGGTGGAGAGGTACAGCTGATGGTGATGGAGGCACAATATTGGTACCACACAAATAAAAGTATACTCTATAACTGTACTGTATACCCTAAAAAAAATATGCCTCTTTACCTGTGTATTTCTTAAGAGTTTGGTGAATCTAACTGTAAACACCTCAGAATGAATTAGACCAAACAGTAAAGGTGTTACAGGATTTACCATCACCAATTCGTAAACTCCACCTTGATATTACTGACACAAAAAAATATACACTAACAGACACCAAGAACGGATGGGTAAATAGACAGACAGAGACAGACAGAGACAGACAGATAGAGAGGCGGTAATAGAAGTCCTCGTCACCTTGTCAGCCTGTCTGGCCTCCTCTATATAGTGAGTGGTGATGATGATAGTGGTGTTGCCATTGTCACACACGTCCAGTAGGTGCTCCCAGATGCTGTCAGGATCAAAGGTAAGACATAATTAACGAACAGGTGAAAGAGTTAAGGTGATTGGTTAAACCGTAATGTAAAGGTGATTGACTGAAGCATAAGAGAAAGGGTAATTAAGTAAGGGGAAGGTAACTAATATTGGGGGGTGAGAGAGAGAGACTCACCTACTCCTCAGTAAGGGGTCCACACCTACAGTTGGTTCGTCCAGTATCAGTAAGTCAGGTTCATGTAGTAGTGCAGCCGCGAAGCTCACCCGCCTCTGCTGCCCTCCGCTGAAAATGACACACAGTGGTGAAAAATGCTGCACTGATACATTTATACAGTGGTGTAGTAATAAAGTGATTTTAGGGATTGAAACTAAAATTGATATTAGTTTTATTCCATTTCTTTCGACATGTAATAACTCAAGGCTGTAGTTACCGGTTTATATTTTTCTAAGTTTTTCACCTTTCCCTATCATCGTTTTCTGTCTCTTTCATTCGTTTCTATAATCCTCTTTTATGTCTGTATTAGTTTACCATTTTCTCCATCTATCTCTTCCTTTATATTACTCAATTTTCCCTTATCTTTCCATCTACGCCTTCCTCACCTGGGTTAGTTAATGAAGCCATCCTCCCCCTCCTCACCTGGGTTAGTTAATGAAGCCATCCTCCCCCTCCTCACCTGAGCTAGTTAATGAAGCCATCCTCCTCCTCCTCACCTGAGCTGGTTGATGAGTCTGGTAGGGTCAGGTAGGTCGAGGAAGGAAACAAGGAACTTGGTCCTCTGGGAGATCTTGTCACCGCTCATCAGGTGGATCCTGCCGAAGTATCTCAGAGTCTCCACGATGGTGAACTCCTGGTACAGCGCCAACTCCTGAGGTCAGTAGAGGAATCCTTAGTAAGGCCTGTATCCTGTGTAGGACTCTAGATACTGATTAAATACAAGACTCTATTTGAGGATTAAATTCGTAGTAAGACTCTATCTAAAGAGCATGTTATGTAAGTCTTAAGCTCTATAAAAGACTGCCTGGGGGTTGTATGCAAACTGGTCCTGAGTTGAGGAGGATTCTGGTAGGTCCTTCCTGAGAATTGTATCCCATACAGAACTCTGCATCATGTGGAATGGTGTATATGTACAGTACAGACATTATTTGGAGGTTTGTTCACTTATATGTGTGAGTATTAATAACTATAGTTTCATTACCACACGTACAGGTTATAGAAAGCCTGTTAACCGACCCATCGACGGCCACGCCCACTTGTAACTTATGAACCAATGGAAATATCTATTGTGCGCGTGAGTTTGTTTACATGTGGGACTGATCCGTCACACCAACTTCTACCGATAGCTCTTCACTCCTGGGATCATTACACTACACGTAGCATAAACACTAAATGTATGCTTATAAACACACCACAACCGTAAATAAAATAAATATTAAAAAACATATTTACTTTATCAACACCTACAAGGCCAGAAAGGTTAAAATTGGGCGTATCGGCAAATCACTAGTTTAACAATTTGTTCGCTTGTTTGCGCTGTAAAATAGTTCGGGACAGGCAAGAGTGAGGGAAGTAAAGACGGGGTATCCATTCAGTCTTTTATTTGATGTGAGAGTGACCGCGTGTGTACGTCCGGGTGGTCGAGATACAATTATTTCTGGTGAGTCCTTCCTAAAGCATGGGGGGTTATGAGTCTTTACTGTGGTTAATATCCTACGTAGGACTCCACCTGTGGCCTGTGTTGTTAAGGAAGGACTTGTGCAATGACGCTGGTCAATTTAACCTGTGTGTGGGTGTATACCTGAGGAATATCTTGCGTTGGATCTCACCTGCGGCAATTGAATATGAAGAATGCGTACCTGCGGCATGTACCCGACGCGGTGGCCGGGGACTGCGGCTTCGGCGGACCCTGGAGGGAATCCGTAGAGGAAGATCTCTCCCTTGTCCAACTTGAGGCGGTTCACAAGACACCCCAGTAAGGTGGTCTTGCCGCATCCGCTGGGCCCCAACAACCCGTAGCTGCGGCAGGACGTAGAGGTAAGTGAGAAAGCACCCTGAGTCACCATACTACCATCACCTCAGCATACTCACAGCCCATTGCCATACCATCACCATACTCACATGGCACCATACTATACTCACATGGCACCCTGAAGCACCATACTATACTCACATGGCACCCTGAAGCACCATACTATACTCACATGGCACCCTGAGGCACCATACTATACTCACATGGAACTCTGAGGCACCATACTATACTCACATGGAACCCTGAGGCACCATACTATACTCACATGGCACCCTGAGGCACCATACTATACTCACATGGCACCCTGAAGCACCATACTATACTCACATGGCACCCTGAAGCACCATACTATACTCACATGGAACTCTGAGGCACCATACTATACTCACATGGAACCCTGAGGCACCATACTATACTCACATGGAACCCTGAGGCACCATACTATACTCACATGGAACTCTGAGGCACCATACTACTCACATGGCACCCTGAAGCACCATACTATACTCACATGGCACCCTGAAGCACCATACTATACTCACATGGAACCCTGAGGCACCATACTATACTCACATGGAACCCTGAGGCACCATACTATACTCACATGGAACCCTGAGGCACCATACTATACTCACATGGCACCCTGAAGCACCATACTATACTCACATGGAACCCTGAAGCACCATACTATACTCACATGGAACCCTGAGGCACCATACTATACTCACATGGAACCCTGAGGCACCCGCATATCGAGGTTCTCCAACACAACGACCTTCTTGGAGCCAGAACCGTAAGACTTGTAGGCCTGCTGTACCACTACCACGTTACCCACCTCCTTCCCGGCGCCTCTCACGCTGCCACGACTGTTGGGGGTACAGTGTTACAGTGTTAGTGATATACAGGTACAGTGGTAATGGGGGTACAGTGGTATAGCGGTAGAGTTATAGGGTAATTATTAATGAATTACACCATCGCCGATTATTATTCCTGGAAAACGATTTTAAAAACGCTGTAATTTCACCGTATTTTATAGTGGACGCTGTCGTAGTTTGAGCAAATGTGTTAAAAAAGTGGATATTTATAATTTTAACCTATCCTGACTAACCTTAAGCTAACCTAACCTAATATCTGCGCACTTATTGTTACGGAGCGGGGGGTGGAGGGAGGGAGCCGCAGCGTTGAGAAGTGGTGAACGGTTGTGTTGTGGTCGGGGTGAATGTGTCAGAACAGGTAGGGGATGATGTGGTGATTGGCTGGATGACTTCTTGGCACAGAGGAACTAAGGTGTCAGCGACTATTATTTTCCCTCAGTACAACGAACATGCAACCTGTTCCACCTTCGATCCCGCCTAACACACAGGAACTCTTCACTAAGCGCCCACGTTGGAACTTTCTCTCATGTGTGTTCACCGAGACGAGGTTCACTTCATTTTTACCTACCTCACATTTTCTTAAAAAAATAACTAGTAAGCGTTCCAGCTCGTGGTATTTTTAAATGACGGAAATGTTTACCACGAATGTGATTGATATTAAATTATCCATATCAATCTAATCTAACTACACTAGTATAGTTTTGGTAAAGTTATAGGTTGTTCCATGTCATCTACTTATGGTGGCTTGATATTGGCAGGAACTAAGCGAAAACTTATATTACATATCTAAAAAATTACTATATAATATAGAAATGTTTACATTCCGTGGTCTGAATTAATATAATATAAAATTTAAACAATATAAACAGACTTAATAATCATATTTAGTGATTTACTTACTATGATAATATATAGTTGAGGATCTCGTTTGACTGACGCTGTGGCTGACTAGGCGATGAATGGGTAAATGGCAAGCGTTGCTGAACCAATTTAAGTTTTATTGTCATTTTGACGCAAGATGGCCCCTTTTCTCTTTATTTTGGTGATTTTTAAAATTACGATTAACTACAAGAACGGCAAAGTATTACTGCAACAGCAAGTAATTGAGTGTTATTGAAAACAAGTGAGTTGGCATAATGCTATTAATGCACTTCAACAATTAAGGCCTTTAAGCTCTTAACAAGGTTAGTAATTACATTTCTAATAACATATAAAAAAATATACGATAGAACTCGGTGCAGGTTAGTGGATAGATAGATATTCCTTCTGTGATGCCGTTATACAAGTTCACTTAGCCTCAACGTGTGCATAGACAGTAAAGGTTTAGGTTAGGTTTATTTTATTTTCAAATATTAATAGAAAGGGAATAAAAAATGTCAATTTACTGTGTCAAACTCTGAAACATGCACACTCGCTACACATCCTGAATTAATGTATATTTATATGATATTTATAGGGTGATTTTGTTTAATGTATATAAATTATTAATAAGCTGTGATATGGAGCCTAGTTAGTGGATAATTCGTTTTCTTGTAGTTAGCCATCCATATATTCTCAGGTTTTCTTTTGTATGTTTAGCGAGATTTTATGGTAAACTAAAAGAATATTATTATTAGTTGTATTATTATTATTTATTACTATTAATGTTATTATTATTACATTTACTCTTATTATTATTATTATTATTATTCCGTTCTGTGTGACGTGATTTCTAGGTTAGTTCACCAGGTATCAGAGGTGACAAAGATATTAACTATCGTAGGATTTTATTGTAAATATCGTTCATGTAGGGGCTTAGAGAGAGAGAGAGAGAGAGAGAGAGAGAGAGAGAGAGAGAGAATTGTCCACTTTAGGAATATTTTAGTAAGTCGAGATAGGTTTTGGGTTAGGTTAGGTTAGACCAGGATAGTTTTAAATTAGGTTATATATGATTAAGTTAGGTTGTATTAGAAGTACACAAGGTAAGTTAGGTTAAAGCAGGTTTAATTCAGGCTATAGCAGGTCATGTTAGGGTTATGCTAAGCCAGGTTAGGTTAAGTTACGTATGTGGTAATTACTCGAGCTAATTACTTTCTAATTGACCCGTTTTCCACTATTAATTACTTTCTAAATGTGAATTATGGGCGATAGTATTTTTTTATCTTGAGTTAATGAATTTATTTTACACATTAAGTTCAACTTCCATGATAACTAATTGTTTGGGGGGTCCCTTAACCTTCCCCCCCCCCAAAAAAAAAATAATAATCAAGGAAATATAATAAGATAACATTACACTTTACGGTATTTTTCCCCCTCATCGTTATCACCACCAAAAGCACCAGTTATCTTATCTTGCTGTGTTGTTTAGCTCTACTACAATAACATCGCCGGGGTCTTATCTGGAAGCCCTTTTGATGCGTTTTGGTGATGTTGATGATATGCATGCTACACTCTTATTGTGACGTCATCGGTGTTGTTTGTGACGTCATCAGTATTGTTGTGACGTCATCAGTGTTTATTTTGAGATATATTTCGGGATTATAAGTTGACTTGACCGTAATTATTTTCGTCTTCTCGTGTTTTCTGGAGAGATTAGTTGAAGTTTTGGATTAGGTTAGGTTAGTTTAAACTGCGTTAGATTAAGTTAAGCTAGATTAGGTTAATTAAAATTAGGTTAGGTTAAGTGAGATTTGGTTCTTCAATACGATACCACGAGCCAGAACACAACGATACCACGAGCCAGAACACAACGATACCACGAGCCAGAACACAACGATACCACGAGCCAGAACACAACGATACCACGAGCCAGAACACAACGATACCACGAGCCAGAACACAGACTTATCCATGACCTCGCCTCACCTGATTCTGTGCCCATCTGTCCTGTGTCTTGGGTTGGCTCTTCCCTCTGTGATGAAACCGTTCGTCACCCGGTCTAGCCTGGTTAATGACACGTCGCAGTAGGGGGGAAACTTTGGTGGTGCTGCTGCTTCTTCTTCTTGCCTCTCCATACCCATAGATTCAACAGCCTCTGTAGCCATGGTAACACCTCCGACCGTGACGGAGTGCTTGCTGGAGGTCGCCCTGTGTGATGTATTGAACTTGTAACTCGTTAACTCCATTGATGGTGGATGGTATTTCGTTTAGGATTTCTTCAGTGGGAGTTTAGTTTTGTCTTTGGTGAGTTTGAAAGACAATCTACAGCTGTGGTTTGGTCTGTTCTTCCTGTTAGAGTCTACGGGTTATATTTAGAGAATTGATCATGAGTGTTTCAAGAATGTTGTCCTTTGAGGAAGATAGTTCAGGGGGCTGGCTATCACAACTTCTTGATGGGCGTCTTGGATACACTTAGGTAATTATAATCGTTAATTCCTATGCCTTCAAATGAGTACTTTGGTGGAGGTACTTTGTAGGGGAAAATAAAAGTTGGGTACTTGGAGTCCTTGGGTGTTTTTTAGAAGGGCCACGTACAAGAGTATCACATAAATATCCTTTTAGGACTCTTATCTGATCCCTTAGTCCTTCAGAGAGTCTTGTGGTGAAATCTTAAGTCAAATTTTAAAGATCCTTCTGATATGGCTTCCAGCAGTAGAAGTCCTTTCGCGGATTCCCGAGTAAATAAACCAAACTGGGAGTATTGTTGACGAGTATATTTGGACTTATTTAAGGCGTCTGTGGACTTTAGGACTCATCACCTTATTTATGGACTCGTCAAAGTACTTATTATGGACTCTGGACGTAATTTCCCGCTGGCTAGGGGGGAGGGGAGAGTTCTTAAGGAATGTCGAGCACCGCGTTTCCAAAAATTCAGCTACAGGAGCAGAAATTGTATAGCTAACACGGCGGGGCGTCCAAAAGATTACTGGTGCACCTTCCTCCCATCACCGCTGTGCTTCACCAATGTCCTCTATCTTATCGTTAACGTGTTCTCTGATAACCCAAAACTGTTATATATGCTCAATGGCAATTTTTTTTTGGTGTGTGTGTGTGTGTGTGTGTTGGGGGAGGGGGTCGTGATGACTGGCGCCTAGACTGATTTGCATTTGTTTTTCATTATATTAGAACCTATTTTTTTTTATTCCGGTTGAGTGGTCCGGAATGACTTTGAGGGAATACCGGATTATTGGATAAATTTAGTATGTAGTTAAATAATTCAGAAATCCGGGTAATTTTTTCTCGTTTTTTTTTCTCTAAAATTGACCTTAACTGACATTAACCTTCTTAACCAATTAACTTTAACCAATTAACTTTAACCAATTAACTTTAATCTAACAACTTAATCTAGTCTAGTAATCAATCTAATCTAGGAAACTAATCTATTCTAACAATTTAACCTAATTAGTTTTATTCACCTCGTAACCTAACCTAATACACTTCACCTAACCTAACCTAACTTAACTTAACTTAACCAGCGTCAATTTTTTGTCACCAAGTCACACACACACACACACACACACACACACACACACACACACACACACTCACACTCACCACTATCACTCACCGATTATGTGCTCGCAGCCCAGATGACTTAAGTGCAACTGTACCTGTAGATGACTGGTGGCCCTACAGGGAAGCCTATACACCTGTCACCGAGCTCACCTGTAGATGACTTACCTGACTTACCTGAACCTGCTTGATACCTATTCCTGTCCTTGTATGTACCTGTGTCTACCTGTACCTGTGTTTACCTTTACCTGTACTCTACCTGTGTTAACGTTTCCCTGTAACTGTGTCTACCTGTACCTGTACCTGTGTTAACGTTTACCTGTACCTGTGTTAACGTTTACCTGTGTCTACCTGTACCGACGAGTCAGCTTCTCAGTCCAGACGACCTGGCAGCCTTGAAGTGGGTGGTGGCCGTGTGTGTTATCAGGTAACCCGCATTATCGGTAGTGGACGCTTTCGTGTTATCTATACCTGATTAAATGTCTAATTGGAGGTCATGTGATTGGGAGTGCAGTCCAGGTTATCTTAACGTGTAGAGGGAGTTAAGACTCAGTTGCAGGGATTTTTTGGGGAGTTTTGGGGAATTTATGGGAATTTTTTTTACAATTGTAGGAAATGTTTGGGAGTTTGGGTGGACTTGTAGACAGTTATAGGGAGTTTCTGGGGAATTTTAGGCAATTACAGGGAATTTTTGGGTCAGGTTACGTCTGGTTTGGTTTGGTTTGGTTTGGTTAGGTTTGGTTAGGTTAGGGTAGAGTAGGTTAGGGTTAGGTTAAGTTAGGTTTACTAAAATTAACCACACGAACCGGTATGAATCTTGTACATGGTGTAAAAGTTCCATATATCACGAAGCTGTTATATAAGACGAGACAAACACACACATATGGAGGTCACAGTACACACACACACACACACACACACACACACACACACACACACACACACACTTACTGATAACGTCTTGAGATGGTACAAGGGATGATAACGTCTTGATATCGTCTCTAATAATGGTCTGTCACAAGTTAGGTTGGTTTAGGTTGGGTTTATTAAGACTGGGGACTGTTAAGGTTGGGTTTATTAAGACTGGGGACTGTTAAGGTTGGGTTTATTAAGACTGGGGACTGTTAAGTACGGTAGTTGAGTGCCGTAGACTTAACACATCGACTGACAACGCTTATAAATGGCGTTACTTCTACTTAGACTTACATGAGACTTTTTCCTTCTTTCTTCCTTCCTCCCTCGTTCTCTCTCATTCTTGATTTCTCCTTTTTTCTCTCCTTCCCTTTCCTTCTTTCCTCTTAAATACCTACTGTACTTCCTTCCCGCGTTCCTTCCCGTTCATCTAATTACTTCCTTCCCCTTTTCCTTTCTCCTTTCCTCCCCTCTCTTGTTTATTTTACTTGCTTGCTTACTTACTTACCTGAATGGGTGGTTAGTGGTGTGATTAGCGAGGTGATTGGGTAATTAGCTCGATTTGAAGGTTGTTTTTTTTCCATCGTCCCTCTTCTTCTTGCTCCTCCTCCTCCTCTTCCTCATCCTCCTCTTCCCCTTTCCTCCTCTTCCTCCTTTTTTAGCATAGTCACCACCTCCTCCTCTTCTTCCTCATCCTCCTTCTCTACTCCTCCTCCTCCTCCTCCTCCTCCTTCTTCTCTAGCATGGCCACCACCTCCTCGTCGTCCTCCTCTCCTCCTCCTCCTTCTCTACTCCTCCTCCTCCTTTTTTAGCATGGTCACCTCCTCCTCCTCTTCTCCTTCTTCTTCTTCTTCTTCTTCTCTAGCATGGCCACCACCACCTCCTCCTCCTCCTTCTTCTTCTTCTCTAGCATGGCCACCTCCTCCTCCTCCTCCTCCTCCTCCTCCTCCTCCTCCTCCTCCTTGACTCCTCATCACTTAACATATTTTTATTTTTCTCTGGGTTGGAGGTCGTGGGTCTGCGTGCCCGGCGCCATCTTTTGATGAGTATACTCCCCGCCAAGCTCGGCCCGCCCTGGCTATTCCCCGCCCGCCCGCCCGCCTGGCTTGCTCTGTCTCTCCCTCTTTCTCTCTCTGTTGTCTGTTATTATCTCTCTCTCTCTCTCTCTCTCTCTCTCTCTCTCTCATTTAATCCACCCTTTTCCTGCATATTTTTCTTCAAATATGTAATTTTTTTTCCTCTGTAGCGAGAATTTTGTTGTGGTAATTTTCTTGGTTAAAGTTCGGATTTTTTTTGGGATAATTTTCACCTGCATTTAATGTCGTAATTTTAGGCTGTAATTATCAAGGGGTTAAAACTATCGTCCTTTAATTAATGGGTCGAAGTATTGTCCATAAAGGGTTAAACCACAGTTCTTGATGGGGTAAATAATAATTCTCAAAGGGTTAAATAATATTCTTCTAAAGTGTTAAGAGCATGTTCGTCAAGGGGTTAAACCATCGTCCTTAAAGGGTTAAATCATCGTCCTTAAGGGGTTAAACCATCGTCCTCAAAGGGTTAAACCATCGTCCTCAAGGGGTTAAATCATCGTCCTTTAGGGGGTTAAACCATCGTCCTCAAAGGGTTAAACCATCGTCCTCAAAGGGTTAAACCATCGTCCTCAAGGGGTTAAACCATCGTCCTCAAGTTTAAACCATCGTCCTCAAGTTTAATCATCCTCCTCAAGGGGTTAAACCATCGTCTTAAAGGGGTTAAAGCATCGTCTCAAGGGTTTAAACCATCGTCCTCAAGGTTTAAATCATCCTCCTCAAGGGTTAAACCATCGTCCTCAAGGGTTTAAATCATCCTCCTCAAGGGGTTAAACCATCGTCTTAAAGGGGTTAAACCATCGTCCTCAAGGGTTAAACCATCGTCCTCAAGGGGTTAAACCATCGTCCCCCAAGGGTTTAAACCATCGTCCCTTAGGGTTTAAACCATCGTCCCTAAGGGTTTAAACCATCGTCCCCAAGGGTTTAAACCATCGTCCCCAAGGGTTTAAACCATCGTCCTCAAGGGGTTAAACCATCGTCCCCAAGGGGTTAAACCATCGTCCCCAAGGGGTTAAACCATCGTCCCCAAGGGTTTAAACCATCGTCCTCAAGGGGTTAAACCATCGTCCTCAAAGGGATTTCTATATATCTAGAGGGATTTATCTAGATATTTACAGCACATGTGGAGGGATTTTGGAGTAGTTACCAGCGGGAAGGATTGGGTAGTTGGGTAGTTTGTAGCAGGTGTTGGTAGGGGTTAGCGGCCCCAACAACGTAGGTGGCTAATTGTTAACGCTTCGACTTTCTAACCCGCTGGTGGTGGTGGTTGTTGTCGATGGTGGTGGTAGTGGTGGTTGTTGTCGATGGTGGTGGTAGTAGTGGTGGTTGTTGTCGATGGTGGTGGTGGTAGTGGTGGTTGTTGTCGATGATGGTGGTGGTAGTGGTGGTTGTTGCTAGTGTCGATGGTTGTTGTTGTTGGTAATGATCCACTCTACCTCGTTTACAGTCTCTGGGTGTCTCTCATCTCTCTCACAGTTTAGAGAGAGAGAGAGAGAGAGAGAGAGAGAGAGAGAGAGAGAGAGAGAGAGAGAGAGAATATACTGTACATGTAAACACACACACACACACCACTAACTACGCCCTACTCACACGGCCACGTAAGTAGCGATATCTTTCTACTTTTAAGCAATTGACTATTTAATTTTTTTTTCCAGGATGAAGAAGGGAATAAAGTTCACGTACGACAGAGGAGGAACAAAGAACGTACGTCATACCTCTACTAACACACAGGTAAGTTGAATTCAGATCACGCTAATTACCTGCCAGGGTAGACACACACAGGTAACTCCTTTTTTATTATCTATTATATATAAAACTTTTAATTTTTTTGTTATTATTTTTATTCGTGTGGAAGGGATTATTATCGTGTGTTCGTCCTGGGAATAAAATGGATAGAAATAAATAAAGGGCAAGTGTTGGTGTTTGGGTTACAGTCTGGCGATATATTTAGGGCAGGGTATTGTGAGGTAGCCTGATGTAGTGTCATGTTACAGTCTGGCGATATATTTAGGGCAGGGTATTGTGAGGTAGCCTAATGTGGTGTCATGTTACAGTCTGGCGATATATATTTAGGGCAGGGTATTGTGAGGTAGCCTGATGTGGTGTCATGTTACAGTCTGGCGATATATTTAGGGCAGGGTATTGTGAGGTAGCCTGATGTGGTGTCATGTTACAGTCTGGCGATATATTTAGGGCAGGGTATTGTGAGGTAGCCTGATGTGGTGTCATGTTACAGTCTGGCTATATATTTAGGGCAGGGTATTGTGAGGTAGCCTGATGTGGTGTCATGTTACAGTCTGGCGATATATTTAGGGCAGGGTATTGTAAGGTAGCCTGATGGTGGTGTCATGTTACAGATCTGTGGCTATATATTTAGGGCAGGGTATTGTGAGGTAGCCTGAT